CACTACTCCAGTATTCCAACCAAATAACACAAAACAGTGTGCTTTTATTAGGCATAGTTCAGGAGCAAACTGCACATATCCAGCTTCCGTGGGATTTTTTGTGAAGGGAATGTGTGACTATGTTGGATCTCTTTATTATATGTCACATAATGGTGTAGTACCGGGTGTTTACCCTCAAATTGCGGGGTTTGGTTTTTATGACGTCGTAAATCCAAGATGGCCGCCATGTGTGACATCTATTCATTAAATTAATAAAACTCTTTCCAGAGTATAAATAATCAGATTTTAGTTTACACCATTGAATTCAGCTCGAAAAAGCAAACAATTTGGTATCTTGAATCATTGCTTTATGTCCATTGGTTACCGAGATATTGCACGCGGTAAACACAGAACATTGTCCCCATGTTATCCTTACGGGAAAAATAAAATTGTATATCTCACTTATTTCTGAACATATCTTAATAAAAATTTGTATGTGGCTTGATATAGTAGAGATCATCTTGAACATGGCCTAAAATCCCCCATTTTGACATTTCTCAGGCAGCAAGCCTGCATACTCACTTCCCATGTTATTCTTATGGTCAATTTTTTGCATGCTTGTTCATGAACATACTTTGAGAAATTATGATGTGTGGCTCCATTTTAATTATTTATTGAAGCATTTGTAATTCGTTGAGTATACAGGTCTGCTGCTACGGGGGTATTGTAGCTATAAACAAATATCACAAATTATAGGTATAAAATAAAATAAAATAGACTATAGTTCTGGGTCATACGTAATTTAGTGTGATTTTGAATTAAGCAAATGTATGATTTGTGTTGATAGATAGATAATGACATATAGAATCGTGTACTACCGGGTGTTTTGTCTAAAAGTGTGGCCTAGCTGTTTTTTTTTGGCCCGCCGTCTTGGATCCACCATATTGGATATTAATAAATTTTTTTAATGTAATGCTGGTGTTGTAACTCATCATTATAAACTAGATGTTCACGCTAATTTCAGTTTTGAAAACCGTTTGTAAATATCGTTTTTCGTTTCGAACATATATTGAAATGAAAACTCCCCCCCCCCCATACATTTCTTACGGACGTTTCGTACTTTGATTATTTTTTTCATAATATGAGAAAATAATCAAAATCTCATAATAAGAACTGGATATATTATATCCAGTTCTTATTATCGCTTGCAATTCGTTCTGGTCTTAAAGTATTCAGTGATGTATGGGTTTTTATTTAAGCTATCGATCATTAAAATCGGACGAGTTAGAACTGAGCTATGAACTCAACACAATATTAAATTTAACTTTTTCCATATCAGTTTTTATTAAAAGATTTATATCTCGGGCTGTTAATACGTCAAAAGGTTCATTCTGGTCTCAAATAACACGGTAAATGTTTGGTTTAAAATTTTATTAATCACTAAATGTAATCTGACTAATTGAAAAATGAGTCATAAACCTTTATTTAACATTAATAATTATTTTTATTTTGAAATTTGTCTTTGTTTAAAGCAATTAAAGACATACAGGGCTGGTCATCAGGGTTACAACATTTGTTTGGTGTAAGTACAAATAATGTGTGTGAGTAAATGATGTGTGATAATGCATATAAGACTAAGAGGTTCCACGTCTAAAAATTGTAACACTGATGACCAGCCCTGTATGTCTTTAACCAAAGAAATTTTTGAACATAAAAATAATTTAATGTTAAATTATGGTTCATGACTCATTTTAAAATAACTTAGTCAGATTTCATTTAGTGATTAATAAAATTTAAAACCAAACATCAACCAAGTAATTTGAGACCAGGAAGAACTTAGAGACGTATTAACAACCCGAGATATACATCTTTTAATAACAACAGATTTGAAATAAGTTAAATTTAATATTGTGTTAGGGTTCGTAGCTCGACTCTAAACTCGACGGAATTTAAAGATCATTAGCTCAAATGAAAGCTCATACATCACTGAATATTTTAAGACTAGAACGAACTGCAAGCGTTTAGGAACTGGAGATTTAAGAAAAATGATCTTTAAAATGTTCAAAGTACGAAACGTCCGTAAGAAATGTATGGGGGAGAGTTTTTATTTGAATATATCTTCCAAACGAAAAAATATATCTAAAAACATATTTCAGCATTGAAATCAGCGTGAAAATCTAGTTCATAATGATGTGTCACAAAACTAGCATTGCATAAAAAAAGTTATTAATATCCAAGATGGCGGCCGAAAACACCGGCTTTGCCACACTTTCAGACAAAATACTCGGTAGTACACGATTCTACATGTCATTACCTATCGCCAACAATCGTACAATTCCTTAGTCAAAAAAAATCCTACAAAATTACATATGACTCACAACTGTTAATAGTATAATTTATTTTATTTTCTAATACCTGTAATTTGTTTATAGCTACAATACCCCCGTAGCAGCAGACCTGTATACTCAACGAATTGCAAATGCTTCAATAAATAATTAAAATGGGGCCACACGTTAACATTTCTCAACACGTATGATCATAAACAAGCATGTAAAAAATTGTCCATAAGAATAACATTCGAAGTTAGTATGCAGGTTTGCTGCCACGGAAATGTAAAAATGGGGGATTTTAGGTAATAATCAAGTAGATGTCTACTAAATGAAGCCACATACCAATTATTTTTAAGATATGCTGAGTAATAAGCTAGATATACAATTTTATTTTTTCCCCATAAGGATAACATGGGGACAATGTTCTGCGTTTTCCGTCTTTAATATCTCGGTAACCAATGGTCATAGAGCAATGATTTAAAACACCAAATTGTTTGATTTTTTGAGCTGAATTCAATGGTGTCAATTAATATTTGATTATTTTACTCTGAAAAGAGTTATTATTAATTTAATGAATAGATGTCACACATGGCGGCCATCTTGGATTACGACGTCATAAAAACCAAACACCGCAATTTGAGGGTAAACACCCGGTACTACGCGATTATGTGACATATAATAAAGAGATTCCACAAAGTCACACATTCCCTTCACAAAAAATCCCACGGAATACAGTTTGCCCCCCGACTAGCACGTAATACGTGCACTTTTGAAAATAAGCTGGCAACACATAAAGATACTAGTCTTAGATCAGCTGGTGCAGCGTTTCCCAGCATTTGACTATTGATACAACGACGTAGGACTACGACTTACCCTTTTGTTTTGTGTTTACATTCTATTTTCGTCAACGCTTGGCAAAGGTTTAACCTAACCTAAACGTGTCGTTTAGTGTTTGAAAGACTAACTATTTTATTATGCCTTAACTGTAGGAACTGTAGGAAAATATAATGTGTAATGCGAGCGCAAAGTGCCTTTGTTTCACTCGAGGAAATTTGCACGTTACACAAATAACTATTTGAAAATTATTTTTAAATTCAAATGTTGACTTTAAATTAAAAGTTCTACTCATACAAAAATCGGTGTCCTCTCAAATTGAAATGTTAAACCAAAACATTACGTGATGACGTTTGAAACTGCGACTAAGTTTATCCAAAGGTATTCCAATCAATTGCAAGAAGAATTGTGTTTTTGTCCCATAGTGACATCAAAATGAAAATAATATCGGTCCTGGGTGAAAGGGTGGCAAATTAAGGACTTGCTGCCGTAGAAAAATTTGTAGCTGCGGCCCTGTCCAGTCTTACAGTGCCACCTATAGTAATAGCTACTGCCCTTTAGGAAATTCGCTAAAAAACCACAAAAATGACACTATACCTCTCAGGTTTAGGGGGGGGGGGAGCTCAAGGCGGTAAATGCCATGTCACGCCGACATCCGCCGCTCCCGCCGCGGGAGTACCGCGAGCGGACGTTTTTCCTCGAGCCATGTCACACAAAAAGTTCGCGTCCGCGGCGGGAGTTTTGAGATTATTTCATTACATTTCGTTTTACATAAGAAACACATCTTACCTGTTTGGTATGACTTGTAAGTTTTCTGGTTTTTAAGGTAGTAGAGTGTTTAAGAATTTGTTAGCGTACATTCAAAAGTAATCTCTGTAATTATTTTTTTAAATTTAATTTGGACCTTAAGTTGGAAGTTGAAGAATTTTAAATATGGTTAAGGATAAATTATCCACTTTCAGTGTTTTGAGCGTTATTTTTCCGCTACACTACAAAGACTATTTACTTTTTAAATAAAAACATACTACCATTTGAAAACTAATGTATTTTTCATTGTACATTGACTGTACACTTTTGGTTGTTGCAAGTTGAAACCGTTGATGAAACAATAAAATAATGTTTGTTTACGTCGACAAAATGAAAAATTTGATAGGCAACAATAAGTTTTTACTGAAAACATTATTTTTGCATGGTAAACAAATATTATTTTTTCTGCTGATTAACATACTACGAAGATAATACAAAACAACATACATCATCAAACAAAAGAAACATCCTAAATTTACTTTAAACTGTTATTACTTTTAAACTTAAAATAGCTCGGCCATTCGAGATGTCCTTTGCGCCAGACAAAACTCCCGCCGCGGTAGTCTAAAAAAAATCGCTGAGCAGGTGGACGTGGTGCCGTGGCGGACACTACCGCACGCCCGCGGGCGTCCGGTAGTGTGGTGTGACTTGGCACATTTGATAACATGGTGAGCGATTTTTCAAAGCGGGAGCGAGCTCGGTGTGACTTGGCCTTAAGAAGCAGGGATTTTTTTTAATATACATACACATTTAATACACAATTTATGTGGATCTATGTAAAAATCCAGCTTTTCACGATTAAAGTAATCTTTGGTTTATTGACTGGACTAAGCGACTAGAGAGGAAAATACTTAATCTATCGTAATACTTATTAGTAAGCTTGATGTCACTTAAGCTACATGACTAAAATTCAGTCCTCTTGAAGTAGGAAAAAGTAAGTAGGTGGTACAGAGTTTTCTTTTTCTTTTCGATTTCGCTCAGCTGGCTGGCTGCGTTCTGCTGATCTCTGTCTAAGTCTAATGCCTGCTGCCTGTTTGTTTCTAGTTTCTATGGAATTATTATGGAAAACAAATCTTAGGTAGATAAAATGTCAATTTGAAGTTAATGTAGCTTCCTTTGTAAGCTTCAAGTAAGTGGACATTTATGTGATTTCTTATAAGGGATGTGATTTACAGGAAAACTTAATATTAATGACACCTACCGACAGTCACAGTGTACCATACAGTTTTAAACAATGGACCGCCTTATATACTATAACAACAATTCACTCAATTAAACGAAATATCTTTAAAGTGGGTTCAGATTGTTGTTTTATTCGCTGTGATTACGAAAGTAGGCTAATTGGCTTGTACCCTAGTTACATTTTACCATAAACTAATCAAGGCCTAAGGATGGACACTTAATGTAACTGTGGTTTTAAAAACAATTTTTTACCTGTAACGTTAGGCTACCTAAACTTATCTAGACCTTTTTCAGGACATTTATTATGGGCTGCACTTTACATTACGTCCTACACTCATTCGAATGAAAATATCGATCGATCCTATTGATTACCGGTATTCGATAAGTTAACTTAGGTATATCGTTTGGTAAGTTAGGTAAGGTTAACCTAACCTAACTAACCGAATGATATTTCAAATGAAACAATCGAATAATCAATATTTTCATTCGAATGAGTGTAGGACGTAAAGTAAAGTGCAGCCTTATTATGAAGTAGCCTATGAAGAAACCAGAAATGGTTCTAGGATTTTTTGGTGGAGCCCCTAATCCAAGGATATTTAACTTACCAAATAGCCTAGGCTATCTTGAAGTGAGGCAGCTACGTACCTTTGCTTGATCTCCCTCCAACGAGAAAAAAATAGCCTAGGCCTAAGTTAGGTAGAGAAGTAAGTAAAAAATGGCAGTTGCTGATTGCTAATAAAATAAAAAATAATTAATCCAGGCTACACTTTAGTTTAGCATACAGCATGTTTGGTTAGGTTAGATTAGTTATCAGATTCATTTTCAGCTGGTAGTTAATGTAGTTCCTCCGGACATCAAGACTCATGTGCAATTCCCAGTTGTTCCTGTTTCCCGGTTGGCTAAACACTCTGGCAATTAACTTATTATTACCTTATTACCTTATTACCGATTCTTCATCTTTTACCCCATGGGGGATTGATGGCGTCATTAAAAATATAAAATCACTTATTTACACATATATACAATTAAAACTAAGGCTGTGGACAGGCATACTTCAGCCTAGGCCTAATAGAGGGTCTTCAAAGTACTCCTTCAGCGAGTAGTAGGCTTTGTCCTTGAGATACGCTGTAACCATCTTAAGGAGTTTCCTTTTTTCAAGGTGCAGGATGGAGTTTGGCAACTTATTGTATATATTTATTGCTCCATTACTGAAGGCTTTCTGAGTCCTTGAACTGAGTATCCTCAGAAGAAGCATTATATATAAGCTTTTCCAGACTCCAAACCCCCTGTTAAATTAAATTGTTTTGATAAAAATATGTGGGTAGCTGAGTGGCTACACCTAGTGCTCAAAAGGTTGGATCCTGAAGATAGTCAGTGGCTTTTGATGGTTAATTAGTGAACCTAGCTGTCTATGATATTTGGCCTGTTAATAAATGGTATTGGCTGGCTAAAGCCATATCAGTTGGTCTTAGGTCAGTAGCCAAACAAAGCTACACGGTCAAACAAAGCCAAACAAACGGAGCTGGTTCCTTGGGTGTTGATGGCAAGTTTGCTTCTGCTGAGGAATTCAACCACTTTTTTGTAGACTCAGTGGCTGATATTGTGAGCGGGATTCCTGTAAATGAGTATAATTACATAGATAGCATTCCATTGGCCCATGTAAATTTCCAGTGGAGAATGGTGAATGCCTTAGATATTGTAAATACTGTAAATAGCTTTAAATCCTCTAATAGTAAGGATATTTATGATATGTCGGCTAATTTTATGAAAAGGATTGTCATTTTGATTGCTCCAATCTTGGCCCATCTGTTTAGCTCCTGCCTTCTGCAGGGTGTTTTTCCTGATGTACTGAAAGTATCTAGAACAGTGCCAGTATACAAGAAGGGCCCTAGGGATGTAATGGAGAGTTTTAGACCGGTGTCTTTAATACCGGTGTTTGGTAAAGTATTTGAGGTGATCATGTTGAATCAGCTCTGCGACCACTTTGAGGGGAATAACCTCCTTGCCCCTATTCAACATGGTTTTCGGAGGGGAAGGTCTACAGTTACGGCTGTAGATTCTCTCCTTCAAGTAATTTTGGAAGCTTTTGAGAGCAAGTCGTCAACTGCTGTTCTTTTGTGCGATTTATCTCGTGCGTTTGACTCTGTTCCTCATGATAACTTAATTGAGAAATTTAAGAAGTATGGCATTGGGGGGAGTGCCCTCAAGGTGGTGCAGTCTTATCTAGACAATAGGTCTCAGATTGTAAGTTGGAATGGTAGCAACTCGAGTGCCATTGTGGTCAGATGTGGAGTCCCGCAGGGCTCAGTGTTAGGGCCCTTCCTTTTCATTGTTGCCATGAATGATCTGTATCATTGTGTTTCTCATGACATGTTGTTGTACGCGGATGACACTACTTTGTTTATGAACCATACTGATCCTTATATTGCATGTAATAATGTTGATGTGTTGTTTAATGCAGCCTCAGATTGGTTTTCTGGTAATAAGCTGGCACTTAATGAGGGAAAAACACAAGGCATATTGTTTAGCCTAAGCAAGAAAGTACTTGAGGGTAACACAGTAAAGTTGTTGGGTTTCACTTTGGACTCTGAACTTGGGTGGAGTGATCACATCGATGCCCTTTGCGTTAAACTTAGTAGAGTCACTCATCTGCTTAGGAGGCTCATGTGTGAAGTTCCCCTTAATTTTGTGAGACTCGCTTTTTTCTCCTTTTTCCAGTCCCACATTTTGTATGGGACAAGGCTCTGGGGTCACTCCCCTCATGTTCGGAGAATCCTGATATGGCAGAAAAAGGCAGTGCGAGTTATATGTGGGGCACACTATCTTGCACATTGCAAGCCATTGTTTGTACAGTTGCAGATTATGACAGTCATTAATGTATATATTTATCAATGTTTAATTGCCATCAAGTCTGAGGAGTCTAGCTTTGTTTTAAACAAGGAGGTACACTCACATGATACAAGAAGTTCCAATAGCATACATTTGACTAGTCATAGGCTAACTTTGACTCAGAAATGTTTTCCTGTTTCAGGCATAACATTTTTTAACAGCCTGCCTATTGAAGTACGGTCTTTGTGTACCTCTAAATTTTGTATGGTCACAAGAAAATGGTTAGTATTAAATCCTCTTTACAAAACTGAGGATTTCTTTGAGGCTATAAGGGCTAAGCCCATTTCACCTGGATGGTTTTGCCTGTAACTGGTATGTAAGTTTGCTATTTTGTTTTGCTTGGCTTGCTGTTTTGTTTTTTATGCATGGTTTGCTGTGTGAGTTTGCATTTTGTAATTTATTATTTGGAATTGATTTTATTTATTTATTTTAGCAGTTAAGTTATTTAATGTATGAGACAATGCCTATTGTACATTTTGTATTGAACGGCAAATAAAGCTTTTGAATCTTTTGAATCTTTACACAGGTCATCTCACTCCATTCAATAGGTACTCATCATTTATTCATATTCAGGTTAAATTCACCTAGAGTTGATTCCACATCTTAAGTTATTAAGTTATTTAGTTATTAATTGTACACCAGGGATCCCTAATACTTCAATCACAGGCTAGCTACGGTAGGCCTACGAAAGTCAGGGTTAAGTAGTTATGTAGGCTATTAAGTTACATCTAAGTTAATAAGTTAATTTGTCTAGTGACTTTATGAACACTAAACAATGCATGAACACTATACATTCCTTCTTTTTACAGCTAAATTTCATCCTACAGCACCTTAATGGGGCGTGGAAAAGACAGCAGTTCCGAGAGTGAAGAAGATTCTAATGTCAGACACGACCGATTCAAACCAGAACGATTTAAAGACTCTCATTCAAATTCACAATCTTCAAGCTCTTCTAGGTCTAAAGATTTTAACTATGATAGGAATAACAGTAAGAGACATAGAGAAAGATCGCCACATAGGAGTCATTTTCAAAAAGACTATTCATCACAACGAAAAGAATCAAGAAACAAGTACGATGATATAAGATCAAATTCAAAATCTAACATTTCTTATAAACATGATTCCAGAAAAAAACAATCACCATCCCAGCACGAACGAAAACATTCTCGTTCACATAATCGTGAGAAGGATAATTCTAGTTCAAAGACTAGTGGTTCTAGTTTAAAAAAATTGTCCTCTATACTGAAAAACTTCGATCAGAAGATGGAATCAAAACGACTTGATGGTCAAAGCCATTCAGAAATAGGACCTGCTCTTCCACCAAATTTATCTGAAAAAGCTAAAGAAGAAAAAGAGCCAAGTTCATTGGATCCAATATCAAGTAAAACAAACATTGGCCCTGCATTGCCCCCTCACTTGAAGATCGACAATACTGATATTGATGAAGACTCAGATACAGGGTCTGTTGGTAGTCAGCCCAACAAATTAACTCAAACCAACGTGAGTGACACTTCGTCTTCAGTGAAACCAGCCATTCCTCCTAACCCTGAAACAAAGAATGTTGAAGAACCAGAATCTTTAGAACAATTACAAAATCATTCTGTCTCCGAAATGAATTTATCTCCTCATTCAAGTGACTCGCATGACAATTTAGAAACTTTTGGCCCAGTCTTGCCCCCAAAAGTGGAAGAGGAATCCTATGGACCTGCACTCCCACCAAATTTGAAGAAAACTACTGTCCAAGGGCCTATGCTGCCGTCAGGTATAACTTCCGATGATTTAGAAAAAATGGAACAGGAAGAATCCGACAATGAAGACACTTTTGGTCCTCTTCCTGTTGGAAAAATGAATATGACACAATATCAATTAGAACTGCGAGCTATGGATATTAAAAGAAAACTGGAAGAGGAGGTAATTAAGGTTTATTTAGTCATGCCCTCTTTTTAGCGAATTTCCCTATAGGGAAGTAGCTTACAAACATTCAATGTTTGTAAATAAAAGAAACTAATAGGTTATATACTATACTGTGATCATGGCATTAATGTCCGAAACATGTAAGTAATATAAAATAAAATGTTTTTAGGGTACTGTGGTATTTTGATTTGCTTAGTAATATCCTACTAATATTATAAATGAGAAAGTTTAGATGTATGGATGTATGTTTGTGACAAGTGAACGCGAAAAATACTGGTCGGATTGGGCTGAAATTTGGCATGATGATAGCTCACATTCCCGATTAACATATAGGCATATTCTTATTTCAAAAATCCTTTCGGGCTCCGCCCCAGTGGCTCTGGAGTTTCCCATGTTAACCTTATGAGAAATGGAATTATTGAATCTTAACAGCTGTTTCAATTAAACAAGTTGGTTCTGTTCTGTGATGTTCAATAGCATTAAAGTTACAAGGATTACCAACAGGGTGCAGCACTATTATTTCTTTTACATTTATGACAACAGCTAATTTGCAACCAAAAGGTGAGTGAGCGTAGCGAACGAACTTCAACCTGGAGGCGAGTTAGCGTAGCGAACGAGCTAACCTGAAGGCAAGTGAGCGCAGCGAACGAGCTCCAACCTAACGGTGAGTGATCGTAGCGAACGAGCTCCAACCCAAAGGTGAGTGAGCGTAGCGAACAAACTTCAACCCAAAGGTGAGTGAGCGTAGCGAACAAACTTCAACCAGGACGTGATTGAGCCATGCGAACGAGATAATCTTGAAAATTAAGAAGTTAAACGGGGCAAAGCCCGCGGGTTACAGCTAGTATATATATATATGTATATATATATACGTCCGTGAACGCGATAACTTGAGTAATTTTTGTGCGATTTTGATGAAATTTGGTTTAAAGGTGTAAAGCGGGATAAACTTGAATGAGTTCGCGAACCAGCACGATCGGACCATGGGAACGGGGCTTTACGGGGGGTTTTATGGGGTAAAAATTGGTTTTTCTCACTTTTGACCCTCAAAACACAAAATTTCCGGATTTCTCTTTAGACATTTTTAAAGAGCTTAAAAAAACAAATAATTTAGTATATAAAAGTATTTTTTTTTATTGTTAGTAACGGAGAAAATTAAAAAAATTGTGGAATTTAAAATTCCCATGTTATTCTTATGGAGAATATTGTCAAATGTTGTAGTTTGCTTGTTTATGGATATATTTTGATCAAACTTGGCAAATTTATTTATTTTGTACTAAGCTATCAATATTTTACTCAAAAACACACTTTATTAGTTTCCTTGTAGCAGCAAACCTAGGTACTCGTTAAACCTAATGTTATTAAAATATATTTAACTGAAAATCAATATAGACAAATGGAAATTCGCTTAGTCGGCAGGTTTGCTGCGGCGGGGGTATTTTACATTTTATAATGTCAATTTTAACTATAACTGTGCTATTTCAAGCTATCCTAACTACACTATGTTAGACCTTTATGGCTGAAGTAAGCAAATAACCTTCTTAGTTCATACGGTTAGTATATTGTAGTACTATTTAAAAGTACTATCCTGCAGTACTAATAACACAGTATGGTGTACAATATTTTACATTGTTGACTGTTTTAATTAGTTTTCCTCTCATGCTAAACTCACTTAGACAAATTGTTCTTTGATTGCTTATTTTCATTATGAATCATGGATCCTCAGTTTTTATACACCCATCAAAGTTTATGGGTTGCTTTAAAATTGCAATATCTGGGGTATTTGTATCCATCCATATCAATAAATAATTGTGTTATGAGTTTAGCGTGTTAGTTTGTGTTATACTAGTGTTAGTTTTTTATATTCTACATTTTAGTCAAATCAGTTGCAAATTACTGTTTATAGGCCTAACCACGCCAAATTATTGCACCAAAGGAAACATGTTTTTTATAAACTCTTTTATACTGTATAACCTAAATGCTTACTTTATCCTTGTTTGTTGTCATAGAAAAGTGGATCATCTAAAGACGTAAACAAAAGAGAAGAGTGGATGCTTGAATTGCCTCCAGAAAAGGCTTCCAATCTTGGCTTAGGTCCTCGCCAGTTCCGTATGAAGGAAGGGCCTGACATGAGCAACAGATCTGCTTGGACTGACACTCCTGCTGAGAAGAAGCGCAAGGAAGAAATGGCTTTGGTAGGTAAATAGTTATTCCAAAAAAACTTTGATGCATTTAGTTTATTATGAATAATCACAGTTAAATTTAATAGTAGAGTAAAATTAATAGTATGATATTGTCAATCTGGAGTACTGTCTACTGGGAAGCTTAACATTCAAATAAGAGGCCTTTATTTTCAACCTGCAATTCAGTAAATTCCCTCAATTTTTAATTTCCAAATTTGTTTTAGACAACTAAACAATGTTATTTTACGGAGAGTATTCCTATTAGACTGTAAGTTAAACTCTTAAAGTAAATCTGTACATCTACAAATAAATTACTGAGTTTTGCAGAATTCAAATTAGAACATTTTAAAAATAGGTTTTTATTAAATACTAGGTGAAACCCGTTACTTTCAAGGCTTAAGCTAATTCATCTACTATTTGCGATAAATTGAGCAAAATTATACATATTTTGAGCATTTAGCATCGTTTAGAGAGTAATAAGTGTAAAAACAATAATGATATTAATTGTGTTAGTTACCAAATATGGTTGATCATTCAATGAATAAAATATTTCCCATATTGTACGTCATCGGAGTTATTATTAGTATGTTATCTGCTATCTCTTCCTTTGGAAGAACCTTTAAATAATACTAATTGTTTACCCTTCAGAAAGGAAGTAGGCTAGATAGAAACACAGCTAAAAACTTGAAAATTAAAGTACTATGTTGGTAATTTAGACGTGTCAATTATTGCTTTATTGCAGAAAGGAGAGGCAGAGCCAGTTAACACTGAAGAGATCATGAGGACTGCATTCGTCAGAGAGCGAAATGAAACAATGGAAAAAATATCAAAACTTAGTAAAGAAGAAGATAGGGAGAAAAGTCTTCTAGAACTTCATCAGAAGAAGTTGAAAAAGAAGAAAAAGGTTAGTTAAAATTTATTTGATAATGTACTAATGATTACAAAGTTGATTGGTGTTACTGATTAATACCACACATACACTGATATGGTATTATTTGTACAAGTGTATGCAGGGTCGTATTTAGAATCTATGAGGCCAAGCGGCTCAAACCAGGGAGGCCCCTCTACATAATCTTCAGTGCTGGAGGTTGGGGTTGTAGGATTACATGTGGAATTGATTCAACTCGATGAACTTGACCCTTTGTTTACAACTATCTGATTGATGAATAGCTATAGAAGGCTAGGAGACTAGCCAATAAATTATTTTATTTTATTTTCAACTAGCAGAGTACCCTTCCTTCGTACGGGGTTGGCTTATAAGCAGTATAAAATGCTTATTGCAGTTATACTCGTGCTTTGTGTGTGCAATGGGGAAGGATGCGGTTTGACAAAATTAGGTTCTTTTAATTTATGTTCTACCATACATAGTATGTCTATATGTTAATCGGAAACGTAAGCTATCATCATAACAAATTTCAGCTCAATACGACCAGTAGTTAATGCGTGATTGAACTTCAAACAAACATACAAACAAACATACAAACAAACAAACACTCAAACTTTCACATTTATAATATTAGTAAGGTATGGTTTTAAAGAACACTGTAATTGCGTCAAAATCGTTAACACGTAAAAAAGATAAATAAGCGAAATTGCAAGCATCCCCTGCAGTCGCTGTGAAATAGTGGACATTGGAATTATTTCACGGTCTTGGAGGAATTGCAAATGTATTCGTGGTGCGGAGACTTCATCCCAGTCTCCTGCGATCGCGGCTATATTATCAATTTGATCTTGATCGAATCTTAGCAGACACTTTTGGTTATGAGAATAAAAGCTCAGTTTAAAAATCAAACTTCCTAAAAGAAAATTCATTCTTCAAGAGTAAAAAAATGTTCTTTGAACCGAGGCAAAGGCAACTGCCATGTCCTCCGTTATAAAAATTGCATTTATACTACACTGGTGCCTATGAATCTGCAGTGTTAACTAACTTATTATTTTATGTTTTACAAGTGCTATAAATATACAGAATGGTGAGGACTACCGGTATGTATCAAGTTTGTCAACAGTCAGTTGGACAAAAGCTCTTTCATAAAAAACCACAGTATGTTTTAAAATGTTCTCCACCACATATTTCTCCAACTAAACTCTAAATATATATAAATATGAATATATAAATATGTTGTTTGTTCCAGAAGGAAGAAAAAGATGGAAAGAAAAAGGAAAGGCGTCCATTTGATCGCAACATAGACCTGCAAGTTCACAGATTTGATGAGGCGCAGAAGAAGGCTATATTTAAAAAAGCCCAGCTTCTTGACACAAGATTTTCAACTGGTGAAAGCAAATTCTTGTAAAATTGAATAAATTATGTATAATTGTGAGTATTAAATAATTAATTAAACGGATTAAGAAAACAACGTAAAGTGTTTAGTGTTAGTTTAAACACAATTGAATGTTTTTAAAACTAGGGTTTTTAATTTTAATTCCTAATGGAAATGTTCAAACAAAAAATATATAGGTAGTTACTTCAATTTTAGCACCTAAATGAGAGGGCTCAAATATATAGGTAATTAATTGAATTATTTCTAAATACTTATTGACCAATTTGCATTTGGGTATTTCTGCGGTTTTGATTTAAAATTGTGGTTTTTCGCTTTTTATCTATTTATTTTCTGATTGAGACATCCATTTATAATTCTCAACTAGCTGGCACAAGACCCACCAAAGAATGCAGAACTATTAGACCCTCATTATACTGAAACTTAATGAGTCATTAGAGGTTTTGGTTGGATGCCTTTTGAAAAATTCAGGTACTACATTTAAATTGTTTATTTTAATTTTTATAAATAGTTCACAATGTGTCAATTAGCTGCTCTCAAGAAAAACACTTGCTCACATCTGCGAGACATGCAACAATTGGTTATTAACTTCGGCAAATAAACTTTACGCAAGATTTGCACTCATTAAATGGCGCAATAATACACAGTTAGATAAAACAAAATAGGTTAATGCAATTCATGATAGTTTTCAACTTAATTAGGCCTACTTGCACACCAAGAAGAAAACAGTTCATAGTTAAGTGTAAATATTGTTGCTTGTATTCATCTGCAATTATTTTTTCGTGGTACTATAGGTTCTAGCCCGGGATTGCTTTTCATACTACTCCATTACTCCAGACTAGACCTAGGGGTTGCAGCATGATAAAATCCATTGGTGATTTGGCGGGATTTGAACCCTGGTCACTAGACCAGCTCACTCCGTCAATGAATGCTAATGGCTTTAATGAAACATTCTTGGCCTAAGCCATAAATTATTTAGTTATACCACAACTAAATAACCACAATAACAACAACATTGTAGCTATAACTACTTCCATAAAAACAGTTAATAGTTGACATATTACTCCACAAATCCAGCAACAAGAACAGTAGATAAGTTTACCTAAAGCTATAGCCTTTTCAAAACAGTATAGCCCTATTAACAGTGTTGTAAACTTGTTTTCGGCCATTCATCACCTTGGTGTTTTGTGTTTTAAGGTTGAAAAATCTGGATTGTGATGAAATAAAAAGAAAGTGTTAAACAGAAAGGGTGCGGAAATAAGCTATTTTGCTGTTAAAAGCAGTTTACAGTGTAGTTGTAGGGAAAATGTACTAAGCAATAATCTAAACTTTTAATTAGTATATAATTTATTCAAGAGACAGTTTCTGCTTGGTCCTCGGCATGTTTATGTTGTGAGCTGACCAAGGGTGTTTTGTTGAGCAGATCCAAGATCTCCTGGAGTGTAAGACCTCGAGTGTCTGGTAGGACGAAGATTGTGAACAGCAGTGCTGCCACACAGCAGGCTGAGAAGATGAAGAATGCGAAGTGTGCACCCAGATGGTCAGAGACACTGTTGAAGAACTTGGTGATGACAAAGCCAAGCAGCCAACAGAAGGAGGCCGTTATCGCAGCCGCGAGAGCCTTCACATTGGAGGGAAACACTTCCGCCATCACCGCCCAGGGCAGTGGGCCGAACCCTATCATATAGGCAATTATTCGGATCATTATTCATCAAATAATTGTTAAGTAATTGAATACAGATTCAAATTCTAAAACAAAACCACTTTGTGACCTAAATTTTGTAGATGTATTATAAAATAAATATTTTTGGTATAAAAGGTGTGTATAACTTACCCATTGTGTAGCAAAAAATAAAAAGCACCAAACTGGTAACTGGTACATATCCGTAAGCCGACATATCGTGGCCTGAACTCATCAAGTAGAAGTATACTCCCAGTATTGCCTGAAATATAAAAGCATGGCATTAAATTAAATAACACATAGCCTTCTCTTTTATGCCATTTAATTATCAGTAAATGTAAAAAACTTCTTGTAGGAAAGGAAAATTCATAAAAACCCTGCAAGTTTCTAGATTTATAGTAATTATGTTTTAAATCAATTGTTTTATGTGCTTATAATGCAAAAGATTACCTACAACCACTTTGAACCAATCAAAATGGAATTTAACAGTGTACCCTACTCTTAAAAAATCAAAATGTAATGTTATAACCGTACCTGGAAAATTGCCATCCCAACAGCAGAAAAGATAAACATTTTTTTCATTCCAAAATAACGAGAGAATGGTATGGCAAAACCTCCAGCAACAAACAGCATGATGCCAAGGATAAGAGTAGAGACACTAGAGGAGAAAGAGGTGCCAGCCATGATGAAGATACTCTGACCATAGAACAGCACAGCGTTGACACCAGAGATCTGTTGTCCAGCAACCATGCCACAAGCTAACAACAGACCCATGCGGTTGCCTCTAGTAGCCACCAGGTCTGACAGATGAGCCTTCTCTTCCATAGATCTGCGCACCTCTGTCTGGACATAACCAAGCATTAATGGAGATATTCTAGCTAGAACAGGACAGCGTTGATACCAGAGATCTGTTGTCCAGCAACCATGCCACAAGCTAGCAACAGACCCATGCGGTTGCCTCTAGTAGCCACCAGGTCTGACAGATAAGCCTTCTCTTTCATAGATCTGCGCACCTCTGTCTGGACATAACCAAGCATTAATGGAGATATTCTATCTAGAACAGAACAGAGTTGACACCAGAGATCTGTTGTCCAGCAACCATGCCACAAGGTACAGAACAGACACATGCGGTTCCACGTGCATCCTGATGATAAGCCTAGCAACCTTTAACAAGTCCTTACGATGGTCTACTAGTTTTCCACCTAGTTGTGTTTACAGAACTGTACCACTACTAACAGAACAAAGAAAGCCCTTTATTCTGTTAACTTGTACACTTCATTTAGTCCTGAATTTTTTCACCTACTTTGTTATGATACAATTATATATTCAGTACCGCATTTCCCATTAGGCCCACTAGGCCCAGGCCTAGGGCGCCAAATTTTAGGGGGCGCAAAATATTCAACTTCTTAAATGAATCCCACGAACGCATCCACGCGTCAGACCGGTAGCCCTGCTACCAGCCCACTGACGCGCGGGCCTGTCCGAGACCGAGTGTAGTTTGAATTTGCCGCATTTAGTAAGCAAATAGATGAAGAAGAAATAAGGGTTGCCTTGTTTGGTACTGCCGTGTTGGGAATAACCTGCTTTTACTCGTGTGATATTTCGTTTTGCTGTTGTCCCAACGACATCCCTGCAGCGACTGCCAAAAGTCAGCTATGTTATTCTCTCCTGTTTACTTAACCTGTTGTGTTGTTCCGTTTATGCTTAGTTAGTAAAAAATGTCGAATTATGCCGATATTTCACTTAGAGATAATGAAATGGGTGTAATTTTTTCATCAATTATATTTGCACACCGGTATTATGTATCGTGATGGAATTATTTCTGATTTTGAATGTTGTTCATCATAAACGTATTTTGTGTTGTTTATGTTAAATAAAAATACTAAAAACTCAAACTTTTCAAGTTATTTCACACCATACAAATAAAATTTTGACCATAACAATTATTATTACTTAAAACTGGTGGATACCGGTACATATAGGCCTATATTTTTTACAATACAATATGGTACGGTATTGTAAATGTTCCACTCCTACATTTTACAAGATTGGGATCTTCTGAGGGAAGGTATTTATCATTGTTCAGTTAATCTCATTAGAGGTATAGTATTATAGGGGCATATATACATTTTAAAGGAGTTGATTTATTGAAAGTATCAACGGATTATCCTTGTATATGAGTGAAAATTTAAAAACGTACGTTTTCATGTCCCTGGCCTTTTACTTCGTAGATACTGGATTTGTAGTTTATTATTATGTGTTTTAATATTTTTTGGGACGGGGGCAACATGTTACACACATTTATTTGGTTTTAAATAGGTTCTAGGTATTTTTTTCGTATTTTTAAAGTCTCGAAATTCACGACCATGACGTGTCCCTAGGGTACATTTTCCAACTTTCACGCTGTTTTTAGACTAATTATTCATGCCGAAATATATAAAGCCATATTTTTATGTCATCAATGGTTATTAAACTTACAAAAAAGGAGCATATTATAATTTTATTGTCATCACAAACTGACTACCATGACAAAATAAGTCTGTCCCTCGATTTGGCGTCACGACCATTTGGGAAAAATTTTCAACTTTGGAGCACGACAGTGGCAAGCCTGGCGTCGATGGAGTCAGTTGGTTTTAGAGACTAGTTCGGGGTGTACGTCAGGATTGTAGTGCCGGTCGTTTCGAGATGAAAGGAGGAATTACAAGATTAATAAAGGAAAGATTGTGTTTTTTGTAATTTTGGTGTGTCCATGACCGTACGTAGTCATTCGATGAAGTAGACATGGTGTTAATTTTTGTTTATAAGTTATTTCAATTGCTAGATTAACCTAGAAGTCCACTTTGTATCCTCGAACATGAGGTGCAGGGCTACCACCAGAACAGAGCCAAATAACACGTAATTTCACGACCAAAGTTTCACGACCATCGCGGGTTTTTTCACGACCAATCCAGCCTTATGGATTATAGTGTGTTTGGTCGTGACAAGAACTTTAATATAATTGTAAATTGAACAGTTTAGTGCAATTGAAACACATATTTTTATTATAACTAACAGGATAATTGAAGGATTGTTTAGAAAGATTTAGATTATTCCAGACAATTCACGACCGTACCGCTTGTCCCTGACCATCACGTTTATGATTTCTATCATAAAAATTTCAAAAATTAAAATATCGTCATATTTCAATGTTTTATACACAAAAGAAGCACACCTCTATACAAACATAATGATTTTTCGGGTCTCAGGTAAGTTTTTTTCGGAGTTATACAAACTTAAAAAGATTTTATTGGCTTTTTTTCAATTTTTTGAGTTTTTTTTATTTTTTTCTAGAAAGACTAAATATACCAAAAGCTCAGTGACCTTTTTATTGTATAGTGGTCATAAAAGTAAATTAGTTTATAGCAAAACATATCTATAAAAATAATACTAACTATTTTTAATATTCATTTAAACGTCCGTTATGGTCGTGACAGGATTTTGTGTTTTTCCACTAAAGATGCTCTTTTAAAAAGAAACTACCAAAGATATTGCGTTACCATGGACATTTTATAAAACTTCAAATGTTAATGAAATAAAAAAAATAATAAAAGTTTTGAAAAAAGGGGAAAAAAATTTGCAAAGTGCTTTTCCTGAAAACGTACGTTTTTAAATTTTCACTCCTATGCTACTCAATGACAATGATTGTGACATTATTTACGTTTCCTGACCAATATTACGGCCGGGAGGGCGTAACTGTTTTCTGGGCCTAGGGGCGCCGTTTGGCTAAATGCGGCCCTGTATATATTAGAGTTAAGTTCTAAATAACAAATCAATAAAAATATAAATTGGTATTTTAATTACTATATAAAATTATTGATTGAAATTCTTTTTGATTCTAGTTGTTGCAAAACTTGTTCAAATGGTTTTGCAAAAATTTGATGTTTGGTCTTCAATCTATTTCTGAAATAAAACAAAATTTTAATTGTTGAATCCTTATTTCTTATCTATTACCTATTAATTACATATATTCAACATAGTCGACATAGTATGACAGTCCTGGAGTTTAATTTCATTTCTAATCAAGCTCTGTGTAAGAAAATTTAATGTTTAGAAAATTCAATGCAGTTTTGAAATCCATCAAGGGACTCCACTGCCATTCGCATTCATTAAGGTTTACCAATTAGCTGTAAATTTAAGATAGGTTTTTCACCTGGATTTCATTTATTTCTTTCTGCACTTCCTCTTCTTTTCTGCCAGATCTCAGCCAAGTTAGACTGTCCGAGGCACTGGCATAGTCATTTTTTCGTAGAAAGTAGTAAGGAGATTCAGGAGTCAAGCTGAACAGAAGGAAGAAGAGAATCGCAGGAATACAGTTCAACCAGATGAGGGTTGAGTAGGTGACGTAAGGACCAAAAGAGTACTCGATGAGATATCCTCCGACGAGGAAAAAGGCAAACATCGATCCCAGAGCTCCTCTTACATCTGGCTGAAAGTTATTCAAGTTTAATTGAACTTTTATCTCAAATTGATAAACTTATTGTTATTTTTTGTTTAGATACTTAGAAGGAAAGAAACTGTATAACATAGGAACCAGAAATCACAAATAACTCCTAATTTCTTTAATTGAAAAGTTAAACAATTGCTTTATTCATTGGTGGCACATTTTCATGTTTTATATCTTAAGAATCTTGTGTTCTGAGCAGTAATTTTGTAATATTCTAAAAGTGTAGAATCACTTACTTCAGCGATTTCTGCAACATACACAGGACACACCAGGAAAGCGATTCCTCCGCCAATCCCTCCAATGACCCTGCCTACGTACAGCTGCCATAGAGATTCTGCTGTCAGTAGAACCAGCCATGCCACCAAGCTGATCACAACCTGCAATCAACATGCAACTGACTAAATTACCTCTACAGTATTACACAGTATCTGGTAATTTATCGTCTAGCTGGCTTTAGATTGAAATTTTGTTTGCTGCGCAACATGATCTTCTGCAAAACACTATACTGTTACTTATTCTTAACTCCACAATAGCTATCATAGCTAACTAAACTACATGTACTGTGCACTGTGCAGTGTCCTGCATTCAAAATGCTAAATTATAAAATCCAGATAGGTCAAAAATCAAAAATCTTAAACTGTGTCAAACTCTGTAATTTGTGAGACAAAGTGGTAATAGGTTGAATTGTGTTTAACTTTGAAACTCCAATATGATTTAGTTCTAACATCAACTCTTTTGAACTATTGAGCACCAATATTATTTAGAGATTTAAAGGAATCCAGGATGATAGAAATAAAAATACGTACAGATAATATCTGTGAGATGGTAAATGATGTAGGGCCAAAGGATTTTTGGAGTTTAAAAAATTGCATAAAGCAGTAGAAAATACTTTTTTTATTGTTGGGGTGATAGTAAAATTTAAATTGAAATTGTTTTTTTATTAGTTTTACTGTTGGCTGTCGTATACTGAAGTGTAGACATCCCATCTATAGACTAGCTGCCGCCAATAAAAAAAAAAAAAAAAAAAAAAAAAAAAAAAAAAAAAAAAAACTTAAATGTAGTCACAGAGTTTGCTAGAGTGTCTAAAAGTATATTTCTCACTTTATTATTTTAGTACTGAGATAGTTTATGTGACATAAATAGCTGCCATAGCCATGTAGCATAAAAAGTCGTCTTATCACTTTGATTGGTGAAAAAGTCTGCTGTATATGCAACAAAAGTCAGTAGTTTACCCAATTAATTCGCCCAATCTGTTGGTTGCTTATTTCAACTACAACTATTTTTATAAAAAAATACCCCCGCCGCAGCAAACCTGCAGACTAAGCGAATTTCCATTTGACTGATTGGATTTACACTGAAATGTCTACTTAAAAATATAACATTTATTCCCTATTTAAATAGAATTAGTTTAACAAGTACTTAGGTTTGCTGCATCAGGGAGGGTAAAACTGTTCTTTTTTTGTAAAATGTTAATAGTTAGTAAGAAATAAAAATATTTTTCAAATTTGATCAAAATATGTTCATAAACAAGCAAACTACAACAGTTTACTTATTCTCCATAAGAATAACATTGGAATTTTAAATTTACAATTTTTTGGAATTTTCTCCGTAACCATTAGGCGCATAATAACGCTTCAATATACTAAATTATTTGTTTTTTTAAGCTCTACAAAATGGTTTGAAAAGAAATTGCTAAATTTTATGTTTTTTGGGTAAAAAATAGGAAAAACCTATTTTTACCCCATAAAACCCCCCATAAACCCCCGTTCCCATGGTCCGATCATGCTGGATTGCGAACTCGTTCGAATAAACGTAGGTTTACACGTTTGTACCAAATTTCATCAAAATCGGATCATTTTTGCTCGAGTTATCGTGCTAACGGACACATATATATATATATAAATATATAAATATATAAATATATATATATATATATGAATTTGAACGGATGGTGTTTTTGGCCACTAGGGACCTCAAAACGAAAAAAAAAATCGGTCCCGCGTCCAGGTCTTACCATGAGTACTACGGTAATAGCTTATTCCCTATATGGGAAATTCGCTAAAACTGGCATCAATTTTAACTTGGGGATAGAATGTCTACTTATCTTACTCAAAGGTGTTACTCACTGATAGTATGATGCTGCGTCTGCGGCCCACGTGGTCCATGAGCCAGCCGCCCAGGAAGGGCCCTGCCACCGTGCCCAGGGCCGTCAGAGAGCCGACCCACGAGGCTTCCTCATCATTCAGCAGTAACCATGAGTCCGATGCCTGCAGCTTGGGTATAGTAGGGGAAGACCAACTGTAGTGTGTGCCAACCGATGTGGATGCCAGATTTGCTGAAATTTCCAATTCTTTTCAGGACTTCACGCAACTTCATTGTACCATAGATAAATCATACGTACTCTTATAAAAGCAGTCATGTAAGTTATACCGTATTCCGTATTGTGGATTGATGGAGGAGAGTAATGGATCTAAAGCTTGAACTGTATTTAAGACAGTTCTAATCACGTGAGCATTTGTTATAAATATTGGGTTTGTAACCCTTTGGACAAAAGAAATTATGGTCTATTGTAACTTCTAGAGTAGACAGCACGAATATGGTTTGATTATATATTCAATACTGTAGTGCAGAATTTATACAGCTAATACTCAATAACCAGCTAATGCTGTAACAATTTCTGTCAGACCATTTTGTGTGGCTTACTACTGTTGCATTCCCATAATAAGTTCAGATGCAATTAATTACCTTGCAAGTTTATACAAAACATTCAAAGAAGTTCCCAATTTGTTAGAAGTTTTATAAAAATAATATTAAAATAAAAGCTCATGGCAAATTTTCATGTACCTATATAAGTGTTGTCCAACCATTATTGATATATTTAAAACTTTTTATCACTATTTTTACTTTATGGCACATGTACCATAATTTGACAACAAATCAATAATCCACTTGTGTCTGGACCAAACACACATTTCAAGTAATTGTTGCCAGTTTTATTGAAAGGGAGTAGCCCGATTGCCCCAATGGTCAGGGATTTGTCCCACCCCACACTATACTATGTTGTGGTGACAGCCCTTTCCACCCTTTTTTTATCGCCCGATGGTCAGTTCATTCTCATTCGTTAAACGGGAGTTGGCTTTTTAGCGAATTTCCCATATAGGGAATAAGCTATTACCGTAGGTCTCATGGTAAGACCTAGACCCGGGACCGATTTACTTTTTTGTTTTGAGGTCCCAGAGGCCAAAAACACCATCCGTTCAAATTCATATATATATATATATTTATATATGTGTCCGTTAGCGCGATAACTCGAGCAAAATTGATCCGATTTTGATGAAATTTGGTACAAACGTGTAAACCTACATTTATTCAAACGAGTTCGCAAACCAGCATAATCGGACCATGGGATCAGGGGTTTATGGGGGGTTTTATGGGGTAAAAATGGGTTTTTCTCATTTTTGACCCTAAAAACTTTAAATTTCTAAATTTCTCTCTAGACCATTTTGAAGAGCTTAAAAAAACAAATGATTTAGTATATTGAAGTGTTTTTGAATGTTCATTGACTACGAGAAAATTAAAAAAATCGTAAATTTAAAATTCCCATGTTATTCTTATGGAGAATAAATAAACTGTTCTAGTTTGCTTGTTTATGGATATATTTTAATCAAATTTGGTATATTTCATACTAAGCTATCAATATTTCAATTGAAAAAGCACACCTCAACATCTTCTCTGTAGCAGCAAACCTAACTACTCACTAAAATTAATGTTATTTAAACAGGAAATAAATCTGAAAATTTATAGGGAATATTTTAGGAGAAATCAAGCCGGGTAAATGGAAATTCGCTTAGTATGCAGGTTTGCTGCGACGGGGGTATTCAGTAACTAGCATTAGTGAGCTACAAATTTAACTAGCATATAGTTTAATTTATTTATTACTCGCATACTCTAGTAAAAAATTAATACAGTAGTTGACTGGACAGTGTGGACAAGGTCAGAAGCGGAGATGTGTAAAGAAAAAGTGTAACGCTAAATTATTCTTAAATATAACTATTAATAGTTTAATAATGATGTATTGCCTGTTGTTTTTCCCCTGCTATTGTTAAATGAACCAGTGGTCTGATGAAAGATAGTGTGTTTCCTAAATGCTACTTAAAAATTTAACATTTAGCAATTGTTAAAAATATTATATTCATTTGTGTTAATGGCTAAGTGATGAATTGTTTTCTCGTATTTATCTATTTCATTTAAAAAGACTGTGATGTGGCCTCACACCCAATTAATTTAACAATCGTGGGCTTCCAATCAGATCATAGCCACCCTTAAACTATACTATAAATCAACCTTCTACTTAAATTTACTGTGGTTCTAGTATCTTCGATCGAGTTATACTGTACAAATATTTACAACAGTAAAAAAAGATGTACAGTCAAATCCAAGTGTGTTTATTTTCTCTAATCCTGATAATCAGATAAATTAGAAGTGTTTATTAGTGATCTATGATGACCTTTCAATTGATAATCCTCAGCTTAAGAGTCTTTGTAATCAAAATGCCAACAAGTACATTGTAGTGTTCAATTGTAAAATAAAAGGAGAGTGATTGGAAATTTATCTTTTTTAGTTTTAAGTTGATTGATACTGTTTTCCAAATTCATATATATATATGTGTCCGTTAGCGCGATAACTCGAGCAAACATGATCCGATTTTGATGAAATTTGGTACAAACCTGTAAACCTACGTTTATTTGAACGAGATCGCAAACCAGCATGATCGGACAATGGGAACGGGGGTTTATGGGGGCTTTTATGGGGTAAAAATGGGTTTTTCCCATTTTTGACCCAAAAAACATAACATTTTGCAATTTCTTTCTAAACTATTTTGTAGAGCTTAAAAAAACAAATTATTTAGTACATTGAAGCGTTATAATGCGCCTAATGGTTACGGAGAAAATTCCAAAAAATTGTAAATTTAAAATTCCCATGTTATTCTTATGGAGAATATGTAAACTGTTGTAGTTTGCTTGTTTATAAACATATTTTGCCCAAATTTGGAAAATGTTTTTATTTCTTACCAACTATTAACATTTTACATAAAAAAACACTTTTACCCTCCCTGTTGCAGCAAACCTAAGCATGTTTTAAACTGATTCTATTTAAATAGGGAATAAATGTGATATTTTTAAGGAGACATTTTAGTGTAAATCCATTCAGGGAAATGGAAATTCGCTTAGTCTGCAGGTTTGCTGCGGCGGGGGTATATTTTAGTTCTAAATTTCTGCACATTTCTAGCTAGTGTAGTTAAAAATAGGCATGTGTAAATCAACATGTATGATTCTCCATAATTTCAGTAATTTGTGGTGAGTCCCTAAAAAATGTCGGCCAGGAACCAAAAAAAACCAACATTGCATTGATATGTGTAATATGGTGTGGTATAGTTATTTGTGTAACTAGTGGTGAAAGTGGCACTTTGCTGCACACGAGAGCAATGTTTACGCACGAGCCGCAGGCGAGTGCGGAATGATCTCGAGTGCAGCAAATGCCTTTTTCACTCGTGTTACACATTATATTTTTCCTACAGTCACTATAAAACATAAATAATTAGTCTTTCAAACACTATACAACACGTTTTTAGGTTCAGCTAGCAACACAATTACACAAATGGTGCCCTGGAGAAAGTAGTACCCGTGGTCCGTATCACTCCGCTATTTTTCCTCGGCAAGAAATGTGCTCCGTCTTTTGAGAATATAGTTCCGTATGTTTTTGTAATTTGAAGTGGTTTCCGCGCCTAAAAAAAATGCTTTAAAGGTATTTTCTTGTTTATTAAGACCGTAGGAATGTTTTAAAAACGTTTAAAAGAAAAGTCCAGAAAGTTCAGAAATACCAAAACTATAAACACGAAATGACAGGTTAAATCGTAGTTATAATAGTCAATCAGCTGTTCATAGTATTATTATCTTTAAGTGTTGCCAACCTATTTCCAAGCGTACACGGATTACGTGCATAATAAAACCACGCTGTTTTGTGTTGTTTGGTTGGAATCCTGATGTGCGGCAAAGTATAAACCGTGCGGCAAAGTATAAACCGTACGGCAAAGTATAAATATGCAGCAATTAGCAGCTTTCTGTACTATAAACAGTACAGGGAAGCCAACTTTGTCGGGTGACTGTAGGAAAAAATTATGGTCATACAAATCGCCAACTTGTTGATTGAAAAGTCCTTTTATAGCAATGCACAACATAACTCACTCTATTTAAGTCCCGCAAAGATAGCAAAAACTCAGGTAGAATTAAAGATAGTTTAACGAATAGGTAGTGATAAAATTCAAGGCCAGGCGGTTTGCCATTTAAAATGCACTTATTCCATGTATGGCTTTATGTGACAGGAAAAATGTCTTAAAAACTGAAGGTTGTTGTTGTTACTTCTGTCCTGAGGATTAATTCTATAGCCGAGCCACTTTTGTTTGTCATTGGGTTTCTAACACGGCTCCTATCTTACAATAATATTGTATTGTATAATCAACTTTGCCATTTATTTCAATCAACTTTAATTTAATCTTACTAATATTATAAATGTGAACGTGAAAGTTTGTGTGTTTATTTGTTTGTTTGAAGTTCAATCACGCATTAACTAGGTACCGTACTGGACGGATTGGGCTGAAATTTGGCATAATGATAGCTCACATTCCCGATTAACATTTAGGCATATTACATATTACCTCAAAAATCCTTTCGGGCTGCACCCCATTGGCTCTGCAGTTCCCCATGTTAACCTTATGAGTATTCATATTTAAAGGGAATTAAAGAATTTTGTCAGCTGTTTCAACTAAAAAAGTTGGTTCTATGATATGGAAAAGCATTAAACAGTTATAAGATTTACCAACAGGGTGCAACACTATATTTTTTTGCATTTTATGAAAACAGCTAATTTGAACTAAAAAACTGTGATTCGCAATGAGAACTGTCGAAGTAGGATTGTTTACAGTTAGGTATGTTTATGTTTTTAATTTCATAAATAATTTGTGATATTTTGGGAATTGTTGAAGTTTATTTTTCTCTATTGTTTAGGTGAAGTGGTAGAACATTATGACTATGGTAGATGTACACATATAGGCCTAAATACTATAGAATACTGTAAATTTAAAATACCCCCGCCGCAGCAAACCTGCAGACTAAGCGAATTTCCATTTGCCTGATTTAATTTTCAATTAAATCTATTCAAATAACATTAGGTTTAACGAGTACCTAGGTTTGCTGCCTACAGGGTAATAAAGTGTCTTTTTCAGTAAAATATTAACAGCTTAGTATAAAATAAATCGATTGGCCAAGTTTGATCCAAATATATGCATAAACAAGCAAACTACAAAAGTTTACTTATTCTCCATAAGAATAACATGGGAATTTTTAATTTATAATTTTCTCCGTAACCAATAACCATACAAAAACACTTCAATACACAGAATTATTTGTTTTTTTAAGCTCTTCAAAATGGTCTAGAAGAAATTTGGGAAATTTTATGTTTTGAGGGTCAAAAATGAGAAAAACCAATTTTTACCCCATAAAACCCCCAATAAACCCCCTTCCCATGGTCCGATCATGCTGGCTCGCGAACTCGTTCGAATAAACGTAGGTTTACACGTTTGTACCAAATTTAATCGAAATCGGATCATTTTTGCTCGAGTTATCGTGCTGACGGACACATATATATATATGAATTTGAACGGATGGTGTTTTTGGCTTCTAGGAACATCAAAATGAAAAAGTAAATCGGTCCCGGGACTAAGTCTTACCATGTGACCTACGGTAATAGCTTATTCCCTATAGGGAAATTCGCTAAAAGCAAATCTTGTCAAACTGTGTTCTCCCTTATTGCAAACGCAAAGCTTGAGTATAACTGCAAAAGCATTTTATACTTATATTCAACCCCGTACGAAGGACAGGTACTCCACTAGTATTTTTAAAAAAGAGAGCCTAATGGAGTGAAAGAATTCAAGCCAGTTAGAAAGACCATTGTTGGGATGTGACTGCTAACGCTGAAAGAATGTTGGCATCAGCGCTCTTGGAATTGGAACGGTCAGTTCGGGCTGAGGAGTTGGTACAGATACACTATTGTAAGTATGGTGGTGTGCTAATTAATATTCAAATATGTAACCTTTTAAATTTTCCTTTTTTTATAAATTTTGGCCCTTGCGTCAAAGTTACTCTTATTTATTTTGTTGTGATTGCCCATCAAATTACCAATTGATTATTTTGTTTCCAAATAAACTATGTGATTAAGTTTAACATGCGATCCTTTATTAATTCATTCCCATTAATTCATATCAGGTGGTGCCAGCGGTTTAGCTACTAGTTAAAAGACCATTAGCTCAGTAGGTCGTACCTAAATACCATTACATAACAGTTATTACCTAAATGAGACTTTAGATTCTTCAGTAAAAGACGTAAAAATACCAATGTCGAATTAGCACCTACGTACAACACAAAATATATTATGTACAGAACCCTACTAATGCACCCTACATTTTTCTGTGTATTAGTGTACCAAAATAATTATTCTAGGTGGCAATTATAAAACGTTAATTCCAACTCAGCTTTTATGCAATAAAAAAACGCATTTACTATTTTGTGATAGTCTCTAAGACGAAATATGAAAACCGATGATAATAATAATGAATCTTCTAAAAATAATGATGGAAAAGGTGGTCAAGTACATTATAGTACGTATCGCTTGTTTTTTACCAGCAAACTTTGAATATAAATTTTAAAACGACTAATTCACCTACCTATTATTATTGATGGGATTGAACATAAATAAAGTTTTTCTTCAAAATATTGTTTTTCACTACACCACTGTAGGTATATGTGTAGACAAGGTATATATAGTCAATGGTAGTATGTGGTATTACACTAATTATCAATTGGCTCAAAATAATTGTCACAACATTGTTATTTCGCATGGTACTCAAATTAGTAAAGGTTATATTGAAAACAATTTTTAGCCTTCTACTTAACTCACCTGCAAATGCAGAGAAGTAAAGGTTCCCTTTAGGTCCAGGCAATGAGATCTTCATGGTAACAGTTCAGTTGAGACTGGGGCTTTGTAGAGTTGTTAGTCCACTTGACAGATAGGCCTAATGCTGTTTACTATTAGCACTTAAAGTAGCCAATGTGGTGGTTTCAAAGTAAAAACAGCTTACGAACTTATCATAATTTTAAAATTTGCTCCATTAATTAATTTTTCAAACATGAATTTTAGTATTAGGGCATTAGTATTGCTCTAGATATTTCTTACTTGTTTGAAGTATTATTTTTACTCAAAACTTGTATTAAAACCCGCATTTGAGTCCTAAATAAAACAATGATTACCACATTATGTCTTTTTGTGACCACTGATTTTCACATTGTATTAAATGGTAACGGTATTAAAAATATATAGTGTCTAGATCAAGAATTGATGTGTAAGTAATCCACAATACAACCTGACTTTGAATCTGTCTTCTACAAGTTATGTGATAACTGTAGTGAAAGTTTGTCAGAGCCGGTCTGACGGCCAGTCAACACAACACTGACACTGCCACAGGATGTGTAGGTCTAGCCACATTATTGTGTGCAAATCATCATTCTCACCACACACATCCAACTGCCCGATAGAGATGAAATCTAAAGTTATGAATAGTGCATTGAGCATGTGACTACGCATACAAATTGAAAGACAGCTTTAAGCATCCTCACTCAATGACATCTTTGTGTACAGTTTGATAACGTGTGAATGGTTATGATCTGTTTACAGTTTAACTGATTTGTTTGTAGCACATATGAATATTTTTAATGTTTTATTAACTAGATATTTTGTTATGTATTTTATATTTAATTTGTTATTTTGAAGCATGGACAATTGGGTTTTAGTCTGTTTAGCCAAGTTCGGTTCTGATAGTTGACCAAAATTTTTTTACACAAACAGACAATAGTTATTTGTGTAACTAGTGGTGAAAGTGGCACTTTGCTGCACACGAGAGGCGGCGAGTGCGGAATGATCTCGAGTGCTGCAAAGGCCTTTTTCACTCGTGTTACACATTATATTTTTCCTACAGTCACTATAAAGCATATAAATAATTAGTCTTTCAAACACTATACAACACGCTTTTAGGTTCAGCTGGCAACACAAATGGTGCCCTAGAGAAAGTAGTACCCGCGGTCAGTATCACTCCGCTATTTTTCCTCGGCAAGAAATGTGCTCCACGTTTTGAGAATATAGTTCCGTATGTTTTTGTAATTTGAAGTGGTTTCCGCGCCTAAAAAAATGCTTTAAAGGTATTTTCTTGTTTATCAAGATCGTAGGAACGTTTTAAAAACGTTTAAAAGAAAAGTCCAGAAATACCGAAACTATAAACACGAAATGACAGGTTAAATCGTAGTTATAATAGTCAATCAGCTGCTCATAGTATTATTATCTTTAAGTGTTGCCAACCTATTTCCAAGCTTACACGGATTACGTGCATAATAGACGCTGTTTTGTGTTGTTTCCTTGGAATCCTGATGTGCGGCAAAGTATAAATATGCAGCAATTAGCAGCTTTCTGTACTATAAACAGTACAAGGAAGCCAACTTTGTCGGGTGACTGTAGGAAAAAAGCTATTTTATCACTCTGTAAATGAAAATGGCTCATGTTAGCTGAGCTTTACAAAAACCAACCTTTTCCATTTTATCAAATTTGATTTTGCCTGTCTCAAAAAAACGTTGGCCTGTCACAAACAAATTAGGTTTTTACTCATCACAACAGGAGTGCTAGTGTATGTATTCTTTTATTACAGAACTGAAAATATCTGACAGCTGACACTTAAAGAATTTGTATAACTATGATATGAAACCAGTAGACAATGAATTTATGTTTCATTGGTGAATTAATTAAACAGAGAAGCTTTGTGTAATCATTTGCATTGTGATAAAAAAAAGTTTTATTCACCACTTGTTACAAAAGATCCATTTTGGGCTCGATAGTTGTTTCCGCACTCGGCTTCGCCACGCTCATAAACCACTATCTTTCCCTGAAATGTGCGGTTTTTGGTACCTACTACTAGTAGTGAAATATACTAATAAACCATGTAGAAATCAGAAAAACTAATTCAGCAAAACTCTAAAACCAAACACATGCAACTATACCAAACTTTAAAAACCAATCAAATATTAGGTTAAAAAAGTTAACACTCATTCAATTTAAATCACATATATTTAATTGAAAATCAATATGAAAACATCAATGATATAAAAATACAACTACAGTATTTATAAAACCAAAAGCTAACCCAATAAAATGATGATTTCAAACAGAAATTTAACTAAAAACCTGTAAAACCATGTTAGTTAATTATTAAACCACAATAAATAAAATGATACTTATGTTGTATGTTCGGTGGAAAAATGGAAGTCTTCTGAAATAATGTAGGCCTAAAGGATATTTACAAACAGAACTTAAAACTTATATTTATTTACACACGCCCCTCAAATCAACATTTCAAGTTCTGGAAATGATTTCCAGTAATAATAACATTTATAACCGAACTTCAGCTTTTCTTTGTAAACTTGTATAACTTAATTGTTATTTGTTAATATACAAAAATGTGGTATAGAATTTTAATGAGTGTTTCAGTTGTACAGTTGAACCTCTATAAGACGAATTTCAAGGGGTACGGGAAAAATTCGTACTATAGAGGTATTCTTAATAAAGAGGGTCGTTTTATCGAGGTTTAATGCTGCTGTTATTCTTCTTATAGAGGTTTCTCCTCGCTCCAAGGTTTTTCCAAACAATGACTGAGGAAGGAGGAGGGATGGGTGGGGGTTTCATGTTGAGACAAGCTTCTGTTTGTTTTGAAAACTACGTACTATGGAGGTTAAGATTATGATAAATTCGTCTTATAGAGGTCACGTTCGTCTTGTAGAGGTTTTGTGCTGAGAATATTCGTTGTATAGAGGTTAATCAGTCCTAGCCCATGTCACAAACAAATTCGTCTTATGGAGGTTTTTAAATTAATTACTACGTTGTATAGAGGTGTTTTTAGCATTGACCTATATGAAGGTGTCAAGGGGATTAAAAAAAATTCGTCTTATCGAGGAATTCGTTTTATCGAGGTTCGTACAAACGAGGTTCAACTGTAGTTGTAACCAAAGAGTTGACAGATAGTGATGGCAGAAGGTCTTTCTTTAGTTATTTTGTTAAATTAATGTTAACAATTTCAATCTCAATTAAAAAGGATAATCATACTCAGGGCTAAGAGAATCAAACATTTGCCTGTGTTTCATCAAAACAAAAAAACTGTTGGGTTATTTCCATTCCGATACAGGAGTCTTTGAATATCGTCTTGATAAGAGATATCATAGACAAAAAGAATTAAATATAGACTGTAGCTGTGCTGCGGTTACCATAGGTTCTGGCGCACACCGTTGGGAGTGCCGTATGTTACGCAGCGCATACGCCACAACTACTTTTTTTGCCTAACTAGGCTACTAAGTTTTTCCATGTTTAAAATTTGTTGAAAGGAAACTGTCATGCAAGTAATAATTCAATTTAATTAATCTTTTAAAGTTGCATAGCTCATTTTATGTTTTTGATTCAACATGAATCTTGGGCTAAATTTTAGCTTGGTGATTTGTCATGGCAGTAATCGTTACACCCTAAAATCATTAGGGTTGAGTGATTCTGGCACAAACAGTTTTAGGACTGATTCAAGTATATTCTACAATGATTTACAAAATCATACTAGGATTTGATCAGTTTTGTTTTACTGGGACACTCTCTATCCAAGATTGCACAGATAGGCCTATCCTTTGCTATATTTATCTGATCCCTAGATAATGATGAGTAAGATTACATTGCTTGTTTTTGAGCTTGAATTATTTCCTGGAAAGTTTTAGTGATTTCTCTTTGATGATAAAAATGCCAAGATTTGGATAAAAAAAGATATACTACCTGTATCAATAAATACTTAAAAGATTAGTGAACTTTAGAATGACTGAGCTGGCTCTATTATTCTAAAATCCACAATTACATTTTAGTTGGTCAACCAAAATTGTAACTTGTTAAAGATAAATGTAGGCTACCATGAAGGCAAACAAATTTATACTTATCATAAATAAAAAAAAAATAATTTCACCACTGTATTATTTGATCAAACCCATTTTCAAATGCTTTATTTACCCTTTCAGCATTTGAACACAGAGCACTCCAGCGAACCCACCTGCCATAGAAAGTCATTTTTCAACGGTAAAGAAGAACTCGATACATTAAATACCTTTTCAAAAAAAGGCACTAAAAGAACAAAAAATTCGAGGTAACATAAAATATTTAATTTAACCTAAAAACACTACAAAATAATATCTTAATTCTTGCATTAAGAACATCTACACTTTATCACCAACAAAATCCTTCCTTGGTTTTAAAATCTTAGCACACAACTGGTAAAGTTTAATGGCAATTAATGCCAATTTGCCAACTAATAGGCCTTATAAACTACATAGTCATAAGCACAGCCTAAAACTCCCATAACACTACAAGTCCTTCACTAACTCAATTATAATGTGTCTTTATAGTAAATAAAAGACATCATGTCCTTCATGCGAATACAACAGGATAGGAATTTAAAATAATAATTTGAAAATGATAAAACACAAAAACAACACAGGTACTTAATTTATCTATGATAAAAATAAACCAAAGTAAAATATCATTGTAAATCTAGGGTAAAACCGGATTTTTTATAAAATGATACATTACCTACCGATAGTAAATAAAAAACTAAAAATAATATTCAGAATGGCACGTTAAATGAAAATTTACAAATGAAAAATCTTTTGCTCCATCTTTACCATATGATATTAGAACAAAAAAGTGAAATGTGTGCCTAAATCTAATAATTGAGTACAGCTATGAGACCCGATGCTCAAAAATTAAACTGAATATAATACTTAAAATGATTCCCTGAATGATCAATATATATTTACAAAAAAAGTCCAGTAATCTACACCGTACAATCTAAAGATAAAAACCTAAACAATTTAACAATGATGACGCATTGATAACAACTATAATACAGTTTTAGTAAAAAATAAATAACACCACCTCCTTGACTAAAATTGTCTACTAAATTACAATGACTAAGGGTTGCGGCTGGTAGCCAGGGTCAAACGCACGAACGCTTGCGCAGCTTTGCCTTGACTTCATTCAGCAGTAGATCGAAGGAATCATTAGAACGTGGCTGCATGGCAGGAGGAGGACCATAACGGCATTGCATGTTAGTCGCCATTCCATCTGTGCAAACAATACTGGTCAGAAAAACTACACAAATCATTACTTTATTAAGTTTACTAATGGCTCTAATATCATTGTTATCACATAAGCAATTTGTATGGATTAATATCTGATCAAGGTCAAATTTGTATATGACTGTGCAGAAATTCTAAACGGACCAACAGTCATAACAATAACAGAGATAATGACTAGGCCTAATGTTAGGGTAAGTAAAATACAACCCATAGGTGAAAGCCTAAGAAGCCTACATACAATCACAACATTGTTTCTTACTTAAACCATTTGCTTGTGTAGCGGGGCAAAAAATACAAATATTTGTATCACATGCTCAGAATTACGTCCCTTGTTATAATCAATTTTGTTCATAATATGAAAGTATTCATCATAGCATGTATCAAATTAAATTATGAACTAGAGACTAACATTTAAATTATTATAAATCTTTTCACCATATCTTTATCTTCCTTCTATAGTTCGGCCGCTTAAAAATCGACCTCCTCCAGCATCGATTTAGCATTAGCGCGCATGTCGTTTTCTAAGCGGCCGAACTATAATAGCTATTAGAAACTTCAGAATTGAGTTTTATTCCATTTTGTTAGTCAGAGTCTACATAAAAATTGTGTTACTGGCAAAAAACAAGTTTCATAAAATGATTTACAATTCCAAAAGGCAAAATGGTGTTTTGTTCAAGAAGTACTGTAACATTAATCTACTTATGCACAGTGTAAATACAAGGTGACTGGAAAATAAGTTGCCTGCATCCTCCTTTCAAACGTTTTAACATAGAAAAATAATATCTGCATATCGTAATTAGTCACAAATGTACTTTCCTATTATACTTGTATTACAATGATGACTATGGTTCCTAAAACAGGTTTGTTGCTTGTTGTAAGAATATTATTGGAAACGTCCTTGAGTAGCAACTAATTTAAGGGCTTTCAAAAGAGAAAATCAAATAACACAAACAAGACCTTTTCTAATCCACTAAACAAATCTTTCTTAAATTGCTTAGGATCCAAGTTTCACCATTGTATACAGACAGCATTTATATTTTACATGCTCAGAATTACGTCCCTTGTTATAATCATATTTTTTCATAATAAAATTAATGTTGTTCATCATAGCATGTATGAAGCTTTATGGAGGAAAAGATAAATTCCAGTGTTAACCATGAAACAATAAACAATCTAACTCTCAGCCACCACTGCTGTTACTATCTTGATAGTGAATTAGACATTACCTAGATCAGCATATCGTTGTTTGCAGAACGCACGGCGGCCACCAAAACACAGGTCGTAGCGAGGCAGTTTAGGGTCGTCATTGCCATGCTCCACCGCCTTGTATGCATCTGCTTTGTACGCAAATGTTACAAAGCCATAGTTATCTCTGTAATTAAAATGAAATGTTTAAAACAAAGGACAGCAAGTGTAGATACTAAATGTAAACATGATTGTGGTAACTAGCATATTTTTTGTAGTGTTGAACCATTTGCAATTGTTTATCAGTTGGGTTTCAGTTGATTAGTTATACACCGGAACTATAATAAATCAATATATCAATAATAAATTAAATTTGACATATTTTATAACAGAACCAACTTTAGAAAAATACTTGTTTGACAAAATTCAAACTGGGATTAGAAGAAACGGGTACCCGGCAGGCATTAAACTTACCCTCTCTCACGGAAATGAACACTGATGTCCACTATTGGCCCAAACTGTTGGAACCTCTTCCGGAGATCTGCCTTGGTAGTGCCCTCGTCAATGCGTCCCACATATATGACTCTTCTCTCCTCCACCTGCTTCGTCTTCTCCTGGGTGGGGAATTCCTGACTGCGAGAGGAGGTTGACCTCACAGGAGAATGGTTCCTGTAAATACATGTACCATCTGTGAAATGATCTTTCATTTGGTGGAAAAATGTCTACCACAGGATACAAAAGACCTTGCATTCCAAGGATGAAAAGACCAAAATATCTCCGCCGCAGTAAACCTGCAGACTAAGCAAATTTCCATTTATCTGGCTGGATTTCCACAAATTAAAGCACATTAAAACAAAAAAGTAAATCGGTCCCGGGTATAGTTTTACCATGAGACCTACGTTAAAAGCTTATTTCCTATAAGGGAAATTTGCTGAAAAAACAAAGCTGATTACAACTTTAAAGTAAATTTGTACATTAAATAGGGGACAAAATAAGCAATAATGTTATACATTACTTGAACAATTTCACATGCTCAGAATTACGTCCCATGTTATAATCAATTGAGTTCATACTACATTATTCATCATAGCATGGTATCAAGATCAAATGTATTACCTAACCATCTTCTGATTGATAACAACTAACACAGGATGGATATGCACTCAAGAAGTGTAAAAGGCTACAGATTTAAATTTTTAAATGAAGATTTGTTTTTGAAGTGCATAAAGGGATTTTAAGTAGGGATAATCTACTGTGCAAAAGTATGATTACTGCTTTTCTATATAAGTTAATTTTTATAATACAATTACAAATTCGAGACTCACATACATGCTCAGAATTACGTCCCATGTTTTAATCAATGCAATTCATAGAACATGATTCATCATAGCATCTGTGATACCAAAACTTTAGCGATAACAAAACCGTTTGAGTAACTGTTTGACCATTTCACAAATTATTGGAATTGTATTGTCTGAAAACATACAGGATCTATTTGTCAAAAGCGTATGTTGTTTTTATTGTGTTGTAAAAAAAAAAAACGCATAGCTACATTTGATTTTTTCTGCGTATAATACCAGATTAGACTAAAATGATAAAAACACTAATAGCGAAGTGACTTGAAATTGAAGAAATTAATTAGCCTATATGTCATGTAGGCTACAATTATTAGCATATTTTTTTCTAGAGAGGGTAGATCAACTTGTGGGAATATCCCCTTGCAGCAGTGATTCTAATTACACAATCTTAAAGAAAGGTGGCTTCATTTATTTATTTTTTTTTATTCACTCATCGTCAAAAAGTTCTAGCACAATAATAAATAGCCTATCAAAAAAGATTTAATTTAACCATTTTAGCTAAATTTAAAAGTAATTAAAATACTACATCGAAACATTCACTGTATGTGTTTTAATGAAATTTGTATCTTTGAAGTTTTTATGGTGAAACAACAATAGGAAAATTGTAAATACATTTTATGTTAGTTAGCTTACAGTGTAAATATTGACTATTTACAATTTTTTTATAAACAAGTTGATATACAAATTTGTGCATGCAATATATGATTTGTATACAAATATACAAATCATTTTTGTTATACACTATGTACATTATACACATACATTATACACTATGGACTTATATACATGCTCAGAATTACGTCCCATGTTTTAATCAATGTTAATTAGTGATGGGCGGATCCAAGAAAATGTCGGTACCGGATCCGGATCCGGATCTTGAAAAATTCGGATCCGGATCCGAAGATCCGGATCCAGATACACACTGTCATAAGGGCGGGTTAAAAAAAAACGTAATTAACAGAATGCCAATTTAAATCATACTTTTATTATTTTTTATCACGTAGCTTCGGGTGAGATTAAAATACTAATGGGATATTTTTGAGACAAAATTATAGGCCGTTAGCTTATCATCCAGGTACAAAACTTAAAAACTAGAGGTGTGAAGATATCCGAAAAATCGGATCGGATTCAGTTCGGAAAGATACATGCCATTGCCATATATGTTATTTATTTGTATCAAGAGACAAACACTGAAACATGGCCTTGCCATATACGTTATTTGCACCAAGAGACAAACACTAAGACATGACCTTGCCATATAAGTTATTTGAATTAAGAGACAAACACTGAGACATGGCCTTGCCATATAAGTTATTTGTATCAAAAGACAAACACCGAGTCATAACCTTGCCATACAAGTTATTTGCATCAAGAGACAAATACTGAGTCATGGCCTTGCCATATAAGTTATTTGCATCAAAAGACAAATACTGAGTCATGGCCCTGCCATATAAGTTATTTGCATCAAAAGACAAACACTGAGACATGGCCTTGCCATACAAGTTATTTGCATCTAGATACAAACATCGAGACATGGCCTTGCCATATAAGTTATTTGCATCAAAAGACAAACACTGAGACATGGCCTTGCCATATAAGTTATTTGCATCAAGAGACAAACGCTGAGACATGGCCTTGCCATATAAGTTATTTGCATCAAGAGGCAAACACTGAGACATGGCCTTGCCATACAAGTTATTTGCATCTAGATACAAACATCGAGACATGGCCTTGCCATATAAGTTGTTTGCATCAAGAGACAAACACTCGGGGAAAAAACGGTCTTATACATGGATACAGACAGCTTTGTGTTAGTAAAAAATCTGGAAAAAATCGGGGTTGTATAGTGATACGGACAGATTTGTGTTGGTAAAAAATCGAGGTTGTAGAGTGATACATACAGCTGTATGTTTAGTAATCAAATCGGTGTTGTACAGTGATACAGACAGCTTTGTGTTTAGTAAACAAATCGGGGTTGTACAGTGACAGACAGCTTTGTGCTAGTAAAAATATTCGGGGTTGTAGAGTGATACAGACAGCTTTGTGCTAGTAAACAAATCGGGGTTGTACAGTGATACAGACAGCTTTGTGTTTAGTAAACAAATCGGGGTTGTACAGTGATACAGACAGCTTTGTGCTAGTAAAAACATTCGGGGTTGTACAGTGATACAGACAGCTTTGTGTTAGTAAACAAATCGGGGTTGTACAGTGATACAGACAGCTTTGTGCTAGTAAAAACATTCAGGGTTGTAGAGTGATACAGACAGCTTTTTGTGTTAGTAAAACAAATCGGGGTTGTACAGTGATACAGACAGCTTTATGTTAGTAAACAAATCGGGGTTGTACATTGATACAGACAGCTTTGTGTTAGTAATCAAATCGGTGTTGTACAGTGATACAGACAGCTTTGTGTTGGTAAAAAAATCGATGTTGTACACTGATACAGACAGCTTTGTGTTGGTAAAAAATCGGGGTTGTACAGTGATACAGCCAGCTTTTTGTGTTAGTAAAAATCGCGGTTGTACAGTGATACAGACAGCTTTGTGTTAGTAAATAAATCGGTGTTGTACAGTGATACAGACAGCTTTGTGTTTATTAATCAAATCGGTGTTGTACAGTGATACAGACAGCTTTGTGTTGGTAAAAAAACGGTGTTGTACACTGATACAGACAGCTTTTTGTCTTAGTAAAAAAATCGGTGGTGTACACTGATACAGACAGCTTTTTGTCTTAGTAAAAAATCGGTGTTGTACACTGATACAGACAGCTTTATGCTAGTAAAAAAATCGGGAAAAAACGCCATTTGAAAAAATCGGATCCATCAAAACCGGATCCAGCCCAAGATCCGGAATTTTTGGGATCCGATCCGGTGCCGGTTCTAGCTCGGATCCGGCGGATCCGGTAGTCCGATATCCGGATCCGACCATCACTAATGTTAATTCATACAACATGATTCATCATAGCATATATTAGCAGTATCAAAATCGTGAGGGTAACCATTTTAAATATTGGTATTGTATTGTCTGAAATCATACTGAATCTATGTCAAGAGCGTGTATTGTTTTTCTCGTGTTGGAAAGAACGCATGGCTACATTGTTTACTTTATGTATTTACTACCATTCTAGCTAGACCACAACAAGCCTTAAAGTGATAAAAACATTAACAAGAATCATTATTTGATTTTTATGGTTTTAGTCTCCATTTCCAGATTTGAAATTTTTGGTTTTGACCTTTATACGTTTCATGAGTGAATTCAGCAATTTAATCATAAGGTTCCTATACACAAACAAACAAGACAATTCATATTTGTTTCTGTGTCGTGTTGACCTACCTTTGCCATGATCTGTCTCTCTCCATAGCTCTGTCTCTGTCAATCCTGTAGTTCCTGGAAGAGTCATGATGATGGCTTCGTCTTGGAGAACGACTCCTCCACTTCTGTCTTCTGTAGCCATCCCGAGATCTAGATCTTGATCTGCTACGACTGGAAAAAGATTCTTGGTTTAGAAATAGTTTGCAGACAACATGTAAAATTACCACATAGCTTTTGATGGGGGGAGAACTCCAGTAAATAATCCTTCTCTTCACAAAAGAGAATAAAATAGCATCGAAAAGAGGGCTCTGTTTGCTCAGAACCAAAAGGCCTGGCATTATCACATTGAAATCTATTGTCGATTGATGCAAGCCTGAACCTCCAAAAAGTTTCAGATTCTAAGACTAGACCAGGTGTTATCCGGCCAAAATAACTAAGACAACAAGCAATAATCTCACCTCAGTTCACTTAATTTGATGCAGGTTAATTATTTATCCTAAATTGCTTGTTCTTTGGTAAAACAAATTTTAACCAAACATTGAAATATTCATACTGCAAGAAAAAAGAAAATCTATTCTAATATTTATAACTTTTAAAGTTCATATCATGGGTTTTTTTTATCTACAAGTCCAAAACAAAATATAAATAATCATTTAGCACGAAAACTGAATGCATTTAGCTAGATATTTTGCAAACCTTGATGAGTCAGCATTGAAATATTCATACTGCAAGAAAAAAGAAAATCTATTCTAATATTTATAACTTTAAAAGTTCATATCGTGGGTTTTTACTTTCTCCCCCTATACCATAGTATATGGAGAAAGTATTGTTTTCGTCAAAATTTTCGAGTTTGAGTTATGAGTGGATAGATTCGTTTTGGGTCCCCCTGGACCCAAAAAAGTGGTTTTCGAAGTGATGTCTGTGTGTGTGTGTGTGTGTGTGTGTCTGTGTATCTGGATGTGTACAGAGCTAGAGACTACACCTGTGGTCCAATTTCAATGAAATTTGGTATGTAGGTTCTAATCCATGGTATCTCCAGGCGTTTTTTTCATTTTTTTGAAATTTTGATTTTTAATGGGGATTTTCCCATAAAAACCCATAAAAAACCGGAAAAATCGGATTTTCTCAAAAATGGCCCGAACGATTTTGATTAAAATTTAGTATGTTGTAGCCCTTTAAATTCTGAACAAAATTGTACAAATCCCATTTCCGTATATTTACTCTCACCGCTTACACATGATAAAGGTTGTTGACAAACTTATGGGAGAAAGTATGTGTCAGAATGCTGATACCGTTTATTTTATCTACAAGTCCAAAACAAAATATAAATAATCATTTAGCACCAAAACTGAATGCATTTAGCTAGATATTTTGCAAACCTTGATGAGTCAGAGCTAGATCCTGAAGATGAGCGTGAAGGAGATCTGGACCACATTCGAGACACACTTGACTTGCGTCTGCTCCTGCTCCTGAAACCAACAAAACTGGACTTTGGTATGTGGAAAACAAAATTATCATAGCCAAAAAAATAATTTAAGGAATAATATCATTAACACAATTAAGAGTTGTAATGAAATTACAATCATCACTTAGAAAATGTATTTCTATTCTGAATTTAAATCAAAAACAGAATTATATCAGTTAGTTGTTTCAACACTCCCAACACAATTCTTTCTGGACTTTACCTTTTCCTCCTACTTGTTTTCCGCCTGTGAGAGCGGTGGCGGTCAGACTCAGCACTACAAGAAGAACTAGACGAGCTTGCATGCCTGGATTGGTAACTTCTATGTTTGAGATCATTCCTATGAAATGAGCAAAATTTGAATTAGCTTCATCATCTAAATATTTGTAGCTTCATCATCCAAATATTTGTACTGAATAACAATTTAATTAATTTAGGCAACAATCTTTAGTCTTAAAAAGTAGATTCAATATGATTGAGATGGTCATGGGAGTATTTCCTTCAGTACATTTTATCAACGAAATAGATTATACTGGACACAATCCTTAATTATAAACAGTAAATTGGTTTGGCTGCTACTTCCAGATCAGATACTATCTAGCGATTAAATAAGTAATCCTCATAAATTCTAGGAAATACCCAATAAAGTTTACATCATTTCTGGAATAGTTTTCAGATCAGCCTTATTTATCAATATAAAAACATATATTTGAGATTACAAAATACTTAAAACTGCTATCACAGATTTGTTTAAACACCCTGAAAAAATTTAAGAAAAGAAATATGTTTGTCAAGGTGTCTATTACATCATAAACATGAATTTTTAAACTTGGTACTACAGTAAAACAGAATTAAAACAATAATCATTGTGCGGCTGTGGAACTCCTAACTGGATCTGTCTTGTAGCATAAGCAGTCGAAGCATAAACACTCTTCAATAATTTAGTCAATAATTTCAACAAATTACTTAAGTACTAAATGTTATCTAAATTACATTTTTTGCATCTCTGATCAGAACTACTATCTAGCTTTACAGGTTTCATCACTTGTTGCAGATATACCCACAATGTCATCACCTCAGAGATGTTAAATAAAGTTTATATTTGATGTGTTGTATGTAGACAGGTATTTATAATCCTAACAATATTAAACTCCAATACTAGATTAGATTGCATCACTTTTCAGGTTAGCGTTAAAATAGATTTAATCATAGGCTAATCGTAGATAAGTAATACAATTTTAAAGGCATTTATTTAAAAGAGTATTAACTACCAAGGAAATTTTGAATAAAGAATTTATAACACCAATTATTACTACTACAGTAGAACCTTGATAATTCAGCACTCGATAATCTCAACACTCCAGTAAGACTGAACTCAATTCCTTCCCTAAAGAATCATAATTTAAAAGGAATTTTGGCGGTCCAAAAGTCAATGATGGTAACTCTAGTTAAATTTAGTTTTTATTTACGGTAGGCAACTATCTTTGGTCTTAAAAATTTAGATTCAACATGATTGTACATGGTAGTATATCCTTCAATACATTTAATCTACAAACAATCATAATGCACACAATCTTTAAATTATTGGGACAATGACAATGTAAACATTATAATAATTCGTTTAGCTGTCACTAACATTTCCAGATCAGATACTATCTAGCGATTAAATTAGTAATCCTCACAAAGTGTAGGAAATATCCAATAAGTTTACATCATTTCTGGAAAAATTTCAACAATCTTTAAAAAATGTGGACTTTATTTAAACCTGGCTTGAGCCCTATCGGCCAACTGTTTATGCCAGGTTATCAAGGTTCTACTTACTTAATAACTATCCGCTAGTATTCATAAAATCCATGTTAAAAGTTTAACTGAATTTAAAATATGCACCAGATCAGATACTATCTAGCGATTGAACATGTTAATCCTCATTGTTGTAGGAAAACTCTATTATTCTCCATCACATCTGGATACATTTTCAGCAACTAAAGTATACTTGGATTTTTTACGTAGTGGGCTGCTTGGTATTTTATTTACACATTAATATTTAAAATATTATAGTTCAGTACTTAGGGATATACAGGGTGTCCCACGTAGGGGTTTAGACATTTGATTTTATATTACTTGGCCACTTATGTACTTAAGGTTTAAAGTTCACATATAACGTGAAATTTTCAGATTTATAACATTCATATAAACAAAATGGTGGCACAATTCCAATTTTGTTTATTACTCGATTGGTTTACTGTGTTGCAGTTGACGCGTATTTATTTTCAATGAAAACTGAAATAAGTGGGCCTACTGTCAAAGCTGCACTAGCTGCAGGATTTTAAAGTATTGCTTGATCAGCAAAAATATAGCTTAATCTTCTCGAAGGCAGTTTTACGAACGTTACCAAACGCATATCTTAAACACACATAAAAAAAATTCTTAGAATTCCAGTTTAAGTAAAACTTCACCTCAGGAGGTAAGGTTATGTTTTTATGGCTTAAGCAATACTTTTAAATTATATGGCTATCCAAAAAATGTGTCAAAACTACAACATAAACAAATCAAGAAATAACGTAAAATTTCATTTGTAGCCTATAGGAATAAAATTGGTAAAATTTTCAATACACTACCATTTTGTTTATAGTTACGAAACCTACTTGCTAAATTGTGTTACGTTTTTAAACTGTTGGTACATAGGCAGATAAGTAATATGAAATCAAATGTCTAAACCCTCTGTTTTTTGTCTATAGTTCAATTTAGTAGCCTAGGTATAGAAATATAATACTGTATATATAAAGAAAACCCACCTGAACTAATGGCCTTGAGGTGTGTTGAGCCCCCTAGGCCCTACATCCAACTTATTTTACTTATAAGAGACATTTTACACTTAAACTTGACAGAACATTTATCTAATATGATATTAAGGAAATTTTTTGCACACTTTTTTATGTTGAAGTACAGTTGCCTACCTCAACTGCCCTCAAATGACTCCTAGAAGATACTGTTCTCAATTTTAAACCAATTGAACTCAATATTACAAAACACTATTATTTATGAAAGTTGTATAATCCTTTTTGGGTATTCAACACTGGATTTTATTCATTGAAGGGCAGATTAAGAGGGTACAACCAAATAACATTCAGTGGACCTACATAACAAACATTTGGTAGGTTAACATCATACACCCAACTCAGTCAACAAAAAGGCATAGTGACAGTACCTTTTGTCTTTACTGTCCATCCTCGATTTCTCCTGATCCTTAGAGGAGTTTGAAGAAGTGAGGTCAATGAAGTCACAAGTTTGAGTTTGGACTTCTACGCTGTGCATTAATGGTTTTTCCTTAGGTACACCTGAGTAAATACAGTTCTAGTAATAATACCTTATATGAGACAGACTATTCTATATAACAGGAAAAATATCATTTAAACTGCATATAACCTAAGATTTACACTTTTTTGGCAGTACCTACCTTTATTCCCTCCATTTTTAAGTAGAAAATAGTCTATAGGATATAAAACCAGGTTTTAAATTAAAAACAGATATACTTTAAAATACAGAGTAAAAATCAGTAATAGAATCTGGCAATACTACTGCCAATCTTCATATTGTTTCATCTGTCGCTGAAGTATTCTTGGAAGCTAGGAAATTGACATAAGGTGATTCCACAAAAGAAATAAGTTAGCCTACAGGTTTTTTTATAACACAATCCAAATTACAAGTAGGCCTACCATAAGACTCTTTTTAACGACAAAACAAGCTCACATTTTGGTATCCCTGTTTTCTGTACTTCCTTACCAATCAGCTGAAGCTGATGTGCATTGTTGCATGGTTATCTATATAGACGAGTTTTAGTGTAATTGGGAATTTAATATGAAAAGACTCGACATGGTATTTTTGCAAGCTCAAAGAGTTGAACATTAAAAAAGAAAATTATTGGTTCTATCTCAAGAAAGGTTTGGAATCAAGTTTCTAGGCGTAATTCCGGAGGCCTACCTAAAAAATCAGTAGCCTTTTTTATCCTTATGTGTTCTGTAGTTATGAATGACACCTTGTTTACTTGCAGAAAGAAGCCAAGTCTAAACACAATAATACAGTATCACAGGTTAAACGGTATTTTAATTTAAGTGGTAATAACTTAAATTAATAGTGAAGCTGCGCATCGAAATTGGGCGGGTACTCTTCCACCACAACTTAACTGTTTTCTGTTAAAGGATTAAATACATTAGCGAAACTAATAATATAAATGATAATTATTATCTGACTAACTGATCCTCACCCTCTTGAGAAGTGGAGTCTGGTTGAGCAGGGGGTGTAGGACAGGGAACAGGGGAGTTGGCTCTACTGCTTTCTTGACTGCGGATTCTCTCCCTCTCTTCTCTCCTCACTCTATATTCTTCTAGGTTCAGCTTCTTTTTCTTCCTAACGATTTCCTGTTTGTCCATTTCACACTGAGTGCTTGCCACATCACTATGTACAACCGGTGAAGCACACTGATTAGATATTTCACTAGAATTTAAAGCGTCTTTTTCTACTTTGATGTTCTTTTTAAGAACCGAAACCATAGGTATATTTTTACGAAGCAATGAGTTCTTATTTCCTGTCACCCGAGTCTCATTCACTAAACTAATACTTTTTTGTCCTATACCGTTTTTGAAAACTATCTTGCTTTTTGTTTCATTGACTAAAGGAACTTCTTCATCACTGTTTTCGCCGGATTCTAAACCCGAATCTTTTCTGGACCCTGTGTCACAAACTCTTCCAGAGTCTTTAGAAATCTTGAAATCTGGAAGACGTGAGGATGTGTCAGGAGTGGAGCTCTGGCTAGGATACTCGGAGCTGTCAGACATGTAGTAGCTGCGTGAACTGCTAGCTGTGGAGTCGCCTCCGTTTGTACAGTAGTCGTGATCCAACTGAACTGATTCTCCACTCGACCCTCCTGTTATCTGGACAAATAAATCACAATCTTATAAAAATCTTCTTCAAGCTTAAGTTAATAAATTTACCGGGTGTCCATAAAGTCCTGACAACATTTTGTTATGTAATAAAATGAAAGCCATTAGACATACAAAAGTGAGATTTTATTTTTTAGAAAGAGCATGGAAAAAAGTTTTATATGCAATTCATATAACATTAGTACACTTCCACATGTGACCCATTTGTGTCCTGTAGAATTTCCAGTCTAAATTCAATCTCCTCCCAAGTACTTGCCAACATCTCTCCAGTGATTGTTGAAATTGCTTCTCTGATCCTGGTCTTCAACACGCCCATTTCTGAGACAGGTGTAGCATAAACCTTGTCTTTCACAAAGCCTCAAAAGAAGAAGTCTAAAGGTGTGATATCTAATACAGGGTGTATACTATTTTATTAAAGTGAAATTCCAGGTTTTTTCCTGGTTTTTCAAAGTTTTTCCAGGTTCCCGCGTATTTGTTTGGTTCCACTTAAACTATAATCAATTTAAGACTTGCAGCTTAAGTATACAATATAAACTTACATCAAATTTGTTTCAAAGTCTAGTGAGCTAGTGTTGAAAAAGTAATAATCCTTATTATAGTAATCATTTTCATTATCATCATTACTTAAGGCCACGGAAACATCTTCTCTCTTGATAGCAGCAAAATCCTGAATATTATCTTCATTTTTTATGAACACATTATCAACGGCGGCAAAATCCTGAATTTTTCCTGCGGTCGTGTGGTCGCTTCCCACAGTGACGTAAACGTCATCACAGTCTTACGTTATCATAGAAAAATCCTGGACATCTCCCGCGGTATGATGTATACATTATCGCCGTCTCTCGCGATCACGGAAACGTAATCATCGTCATCCACGATCGCAACAAAATCACGAAAATCTTCCGCGGCCGAGTGGACATCATCATTGACTCCCACGGTCATGTAAACGTCATCGTTGTCGTCCGCGATCTCGGCAAAATTATGAATATTTCCCGCGGCAGTGTCTACATCATCGTCGTCTCCCGCGGTCACGGAAACGTCATCGTCGTCTCCCGCGGTCACGGAAACGTCATCGTCGTCGTCCGCGATCTCGGCAAAATCATGAATATTTCCCGCGGCAGTGTATACATCATCATTGATACCGCGGTCACGTAAACGTCATCGTCGTCTCCCGCGGGCACGGAAACGTCATCATCATCTCCCGCAGTCACGGAAACGTCATCGTCGTCTCCCGCGGTCACGGAAACGTCATCGTCGTCTCCCGCGGTCACGGAAACGTCATCGTCGTCTCCCGCGGTCACGGAAACGTCATCGTCGTCTCCCGCGGTCACGGAAACGTCATCGTCGTCGGCCGCTATTGCGGCAAAATCATGAGCATTTCACGCGGCCGTGTAGAAACCATCATCGTCATCTTTCGCGGTCACAGCAAATCATGAAAATCTTACACGGCCGTGCAGACTTCATCATTGACTCCAGCGGTTAGGGAAACATAATCGTCGAAGTACGCGATCGCGGTAAAATCATGAATATTTACCGCAGCCATGTCAACATTATCGTCGTCTCCCGCGGTCACGGAAACGTCATCGTCGTCTCCCGCGGTCACGGAAAAGTCATCGTCGTCGTCCGCGATCTCGGCAAAATCATGAATATTTCCCGCGGCAGTGTATACATCATCGTTGATACCGCGGTCACGTAAACGTCATCGTCGTCTCCCGCGGTCACGGAAACGTCATCGTCGTCTCCCGCGGTCACGGAAACGTCATCGTCGTCTCCCGCGGTCACGGAAACGTCATCGTCGTCTCCCGCGGTCACGGAAACGTCATCGTCGTCGGCCGCTATTGCGGCAAAATCATGAGCATTTCACGCGGCCGTGTAGAAACCATCATCGTCATCTTTCGCGGTCACGGCAAATCATGAAAATCTTACACGGCCGTGCAGACTTCATCATTGACTCCAGCGGTTAGGGAAACATAATCGTCGAAGTACGCGATCGCGGTAAAATCATGAATATTTACCGCAGCCATGTCAACATTATCGTCGTGTCCCGCGGTCACAGAAACGTCATCGTTGTCGTCCGCAATCGCGGCAAATCATGGACATTTCCCGCGGACGTGTAGATGTCATTGTCGTGTCCCGCGATCACTGAAACGTCATCGTCGTCTCCCGCGGTCACGAAAACGTCATTGTCGTCGCCCGCAATCGCGGCAAGACTTATTTTACGACTACAATCTTCTACCAGGGCTAAAATAAAAATCCCGGAATCGGTCCAAAAATCCCGGCTTTTTCCCGGTTTTTTCCAGGTCCCTTCAAATTCAAGGTTATTTCCCGGTTCTCCCGGTTGGTATACACCCTGTAGTAGTTGTTATCTACATGAATGAGATCTAAAATTTCATTAGCAAAAGAAGCTCGGTAAGGGTAATCATTTGGTTTCAAAAATTGCAATATTTGAATCTTGTATGCGCTTAGTTTGAGTTTTTTACGCAAAATCTTATGTACAGTGAGTGGTACGTGGTAAACCAAGTTCTCTGGAAGCTTTGCGAACCGATGTACGTGGACTGCGTGTTTTGGACTCATTGTCTAACGACATCAACGGTTTCTTCTGTAATTTTAGGCCTACCTAAAATTACGGCAGGTCCGCAACACTTCCATTGTTCTTGAAGTTATTAAACCAACGAATAATTTATCTATAGTTTGGAGCTTGCCTCCCATAGTGCAATATGAACTGTCTTTGAACGTAAACGGGTGAATTAAACTCGTGAAGTTACAAAACACATTGAGCTTTTTCTTCCTTAGTAGCCATTTTTACGACAGAAACAATAATTGCAACTTTTATTTGGTATCACACTTAACAATGAAATTATGGGTTACCAACATATACAAACAAAACTTGATAAAATCAGCTGTTAAACAATAAAACATGTATAATCCCATCAATTCTGCGAACAAAAACTATTTCAAATGTTGTCAAGACTTTATGGACACCCGGTATATTCAAACAACTTTATTTTACAATTAAGAAAAACATCTGTTCAGAAAATTGCTATATTCAGTTATTGACTACTCTAATAAAATTTTGACAGTAACCATTTGGCTAATAAATTTGTAAATAAAAAACTGTACTGACGTCTTAGTTTGTCCTCAGGATTAAATCTCAATGAAATTATTAAAACTATGTACACTTCACAGCTTTTGATAGTTTGGGTAGGCTAATTTACCAATTTAAGAAGTTTATTTCTTGAGAGAGTAGCTCCAGCATCCTGCATTCTAGTGGCAGCCTTGCCTGGACGTTTGTTAGGCATGGCAGGTATGACTGGTATAACCTTCTTGTGGTTCTCACGGGAAGCCTGAAACAAACCACATGAACAATAGCAATAATTTCATTATCTTTAATCAAATAATTTGGCACCAATGGTTGTCTCATAAATGAAACAATCATACCATATTTAAGTTTAACTAGATGGCTACCTAACAACATTATGCTTATCTTTTGTTAATGTTCCAATGAAAATGCAACTCTAAAACAAAACAAACAGAATCTACATGTGTATGGAACAGAACGTAATATACGGCTTTTACATAGTAAGTGGTATAAATTGATGATATTTAAAGAAGGTCCAATTTTTCTTTGCAATACAGCAAATCCCAAAAAAATTAAACCATAAAAGCGATTTTGTGTACTGACAGGTTGGGCACCTTTCTTCAGTATATGGGTCACTGAAATAACTGACATTTCCTTAACAATAATATTTTTTACATAGGTGTTAATACGTGGGTTATCCAGAAAGTAAAGAACGTTTCGTTATGACGCCGCTAGGCGCACGCCGATCTCGTACATTTTGGTATGTGCGTACTCGGCAACTCAGTCGGCATCCAGCCGTGACAATTGGAGCATTCTAGCGCTGCCCGTTTTTTCACAATTTCAACTTAAGATGAGCGCTGTGATTAAAAATACCGCCAGTTAAGAGGTGTGGTCAGTGATACGGTTTGTGTTGGCATTAAACTTAAAATCGATAGACATTTATCGCCAAGAGTATGAAGTTTACGGAAAAAAACTTAATGATTGAAAGTTCTGAGAAAATGGTGCATTCAGATTAAAAATGGCCGATCTGACGCTCATGAGTCATGACGAAGCGAAGGGCGGACGCCCGAGCATTATGACTGATGGAACTGGTCGCTAAAGTTGATGAAAAGGTTCGCAAAAACCGCCGATTCCCAATAACGGGTCTTTCGCTTTGTTGCGTGACAATTTTTAAACAACAAAGTCCGTGAAAATTGAGAAGTTTCGGTTGTAAGTATTTTCCAACAAAAACCGTATCACTGACCGCACCCCTTAACTGGCGGGATTTTTTATTGCAGCGTTAATGCAAAAGCTATCACCTTGATTCTCTGTATAACCTCCATTGGAAGAGCGTCCCGGATGGTCTGACTTGAAGGTCTGGGAGGTGAAGGGGGTGTCTGAACTGCATTCACCTTCTCTGTAGCCTCAAACTGCTCCAGCAGACTTGTCAGATCTCCAGCCATCAGTAAAGGGACTTCCTCACTCTCTACAGTTTCCACATCTACTTCTTTTTCTGGTTCCTCTTCAACTTCTTTCTTCAGAAAGATATGGGGTTTTTGTAGCAAATTATCATTACTTGCCGCGGTCTTCACACCTAATTTTGTTATATTTGACGATAATTCCAATTCTTCCTGAAAGGTTCCAGTAGGTTCTGGTTCTTTTTTGATGATTTTCCTCAACTCTGTAGTAACGGCAAACGCCTCCCTGTGAAGAACATTATTTTATATCAATGTGAAAAAAAGACAAATGACAAAGAAATCGCATTTCACAACTTGAATATTATTCAATTTGCTGAAGCCTGATCAAAATACTTATTTACTTACCTATATTTCAATGTCGCCTCTGTATTCACAGGTGGATTGGTCTTTGGTGTTTCCAGAGGGAACAGTTCATCTATACTCGGGTCAACAGCCGGGGCTGGAGTAGGTCTGGCACAAGATGTGTCTGAGCTTGGGAACATTTCAGGAACTTCCTCTGTGGTGTTGTTTCCAAGGGGAACTTTTTGCCTGATGGCTTCAGGCTCCTGTATTAACAGCTAATTAGTAAAAACTTCCAATCCAACACTTTCATAAAACATTAAATGTAACCTATTCAAACAATTGTCTAAAGGTATTGTCCCTCAATTTAATATCGTTAGCATTTTATATGTCAAGTAGAAGAAAATATACATGTATGAACACTTTACAAGTAAATACCTAAGAGAAGTGTTTGAATGTGGTGCAGCTTGTGTTATTCGCGGAAGCACTGACCATGTGCTCTGGATGCAAGCCAACTCTCCCTACTCTTGTTGGCACCGGACAAAGTACCGTACTCAAAAGTTTATTGGAGACAAAATAAAACATGTTTCAATGTTATGTTAATTATTACTTCAGACATTAGGTTATCGCATTAATGCATATTTACTTAAGGATTTCATGTTTCTAAAAAAATAAAATTGAAACCAGCATTTCACTAACATAAAATAATTTTTATAATTGGAAATTCTTATGGTAAGATGTACCATTTAACAAAAGAATTAAAAGAAATCAAGCCCAAGTTTTAATGAATGCCTAGACTCACAACTACTAAAAATTGCAAAAAACTGTCACAAAATTCAATTAGTTTGAATTAACAACTAACAATTTCTGTGAATAAGTTCTGGTTAAAAAGTTTAAAACAAATTGAACATTAACAAACTTCAACACATTAAATCTATTTACTCACAAGTATAATGCCAATTTACCCACTGTTTGGATTTTAATGTGTGCTACAGATTTTGGAAAAAGATCCGGAAATATTTTGAAAATATTTATCACACAAGACCCTAAATGATTTCTTAAAGAATTTGAGTCGCCTAATGGTTTAGTAATAAATGTGCATTACAAAGGATAAGACCAACGATTCTCTGATCAGAACTACTATATAGCATGCTTATATCATCATAGGTAGGCAGATGGCCCTTGCAGTGTCATCATTTGAGAAATTTGTTGGCTACTTCCTTTCACACAGTAAATTAGTAGGCATAAGGTAATCAAAGCTAAATATAACAGTTACTTCTTTGAATGCAATTCTCTGTAACCATTACAACTGAGTGAAATTCCGACAACTTCTCTCAATGTCAGGGACTATCAGTTGCCTAGGTCCTTCTCACTTTGCAGAGAACATTCACAGTAGATTTTAGATATGCATATTATTTTTATGAAGCATAACAATGCATTTAACTATTTTTTACTTTCTAAAGCACTATTACACAGGACAATTTTCTGAACCCCTCATTCCTGAAAACCAAACAATGATCTAATTTTAAACCTGCATAGTAAAATTTTTACCAAATTATACACATAATCTATAACAGGGTGTCTAGTTTATTTCAATTTTAAAATTCAAGACTAATTCCAGACTTTTCAAGACTAATTAATTCCAGATTTTTCAAGACTAGTTTCGATTCTCAATTCTTGATACCGATACCAATTTTTATAGTTCAACCAAATGTTCTAAATCTACACCCTGTCTTTATGTCATTGTAAAAGGTAACGTCATCGTCGTTGTCTGCGATCGCGGCTAAATCATAACATCTCCTCCCGACTTTCCCGCTTTTCCCAACTACTAGACACTCTTGCTATAATCAAAATTTTTAACCTCACCTGACCTATTCATCTCATATAGAGATTTAGGTGGGAGTTATCAAAGGAACATCAAGATGGAACGGTTTCAGAATTGCATTTAGGCTTAAAGCATTCTAAACATTTATAGGCCTACTTGATGTGGACAATCATTAGTGTACCTGCATATAGTCAAGATGATTTTGCCATTCATGAAGCATTTTTTGAAATTCTTCTTTTTGTGCTTGATCCTCTTCTCCGACTTCACTGAAATATGTATAGAATGATAAATTGATTGTAAGCTAGCTAAATCCTAAACATTAATATTCAAACTTAGTTACTTTATTTTACAATAACGTACAGATTTACTTTTTAAATTTAATTTTTGATGCTTTGGGCATTAGAAATTGTATTGCTTGAAATAAAATCAGGGCATGTGATTAAATTTTAAAACAAACACCTATTTCACACTCAAAATCGTGGTTGAAAACAGTGCGAAACGCTGAAAATCAACACATCTGTTTTGGCAAAAATCTTTTTGTTCAAATGCATGATTTAGTCTATTAGGTCTATACGCATTATTTTCCCATCTGGCATATTTTTGGTAAGTGACGCTGTTTTATCCCTAAAAATCTGTTTTGAAAAATAAAAAAAATTGTTAAAATTACAAATTTTTAGATAAACCAAAATAACATATTCTCCCCCAAATTGTTATTTCACTGAAATATATTAAACTAACTGCTTACAGTACAGTTACTCCTAACTTAACCTAACCCTAACCTAGACTCAGGTTAGCATTTTTGTTAATCTTCATTTACAAATAGTTTAGGCTATTTGAAACAGTTAGGTTAGGTTGGTTTAGTTACTCTAACCTAACTTAATTCAAGCTAGGCTAAGTTTAGGATTTTTATATCTCTTTATCGTTATAAATCCATTTGGAGCTAAAGATTAGGTTAGTTTGTGTTCAAACCCCTTTTAGCGATTTTCAATGGAGACTTTAGGGTGAAATAGGCATTCCCGCCAAAAGTTCCAAAGGAGAAAAAAAGTTCAAAATGGGCCAAATAATTAAGAAAATAGGCTATTATAAAAACAAAATACAAATTTTCTAAAAAAATTCTGATTTTCAGCCCTTTTAAACTGTGATTTTTAGGGAGAAATAGGCGTTCCTTTCAAAAGTGTCAGAGGAAAATGTGTTCTAAATAAGAAGTCAATATAATGAAGTTAAAAACATTTTTTACTTTTTTTTGAGACCCTAAACTAAACAAATACAGAGGCATCGACAATACACTCGATTACATGGTTCTTTAAAATTTGTAAACAAATAAAAGCAGACGGGAGTCCAGAGTGTTACTGACCCTGAGATAAGCAGCTTAGATTTGCAATACATACGCGGCAAAAAACACCAATAATTGTTAGCAGCACTTGTACAACTACGTCAATAAACAAATTTTATCACACACTTTGACCTTGAGATAACACAGTCTGCTAAGACCCTGCTTGATTCATACTACTTGATATGTTTCTCTACTGTGTACAGTAACAGCTAATTGTTGACTCAAAATAAAGTGAATCAATAGTAAATCTGAAGCTCACTTAACGTTTCAGTTATCAGGAATGTTTATGGTTATTGAGTGGTGTGTGATAGCTGTGGGCCTACTAAGATAGTGTACTGTGATTCATATAGTTTCCAATCCAGTAATACTAAACATTACAAATTTGAAACATTTTTTCCTATGAATGCATTGATCTCTTTTTAGTGAATTTCCCATATAGGGAATAAGCTATTGCCGTAGGTCTCGTGGTAAGACCTAGACCTGGGACCGATTTTCATTTTGAGGACCCCAGAAGCCAAAAACGCCATCCAGTCAAATTTATATATATGTCCGTTAACACGATAACACAAGCAAAAATGATACGATTTTTATGAAATTTAGTATAAATTTGTCAACTTATTCAAACAAGTTCGCGAACCAGCATGATTGGACTGTGGGAACGGGGGTTTATAGGGTAAAAATGGGTTAATTTGCAATTTCTTTCCAAACCATTTTGTAGAGCATAAAAAATAATAATTTAGGCATGTATATTGAAGCACTTTCATGCACTTATTAAGAGTCCTTGGAGGCTAGTGGCCATCTTGGGTTAATTTCAAACAGCTGCTTACGGGTTATTTACCATTCCAAACTTTTTCCCATAGTGATTATAATTTAAATATCTAGGGCACTGTGGGATTAGAAATTGTCTTTGTAGTTTTGTAATTGTTTTTTGAGTTAGAACGTATAGGCTCCATCGACTCTTTAAGGAAAAAATCAAAAACTGTAAAGGTAGGTCTACTTTGGTATTATAAGGAGGTCACTTATTTTACAGCGCGCTGCTGTCGTTATGTTGGGTTATCATAAATATGTTTGTAGGCATTTCCTTGTTTCATTATGATACCAGATGAGTCATACTTTCTATTTAAGATAACCCAACCTAACATAACCGCTGCAGCACACTGTATAAGGGTGGCTTAAACTTATGTTATTTAAAAAGGGAATAAATATTACATTTTCAGGGAGATATTTTAACGAAACTCCAATCAGTCAAATGGAAATTTGCTTAGTCTGCAGGTTTGCTGTGGCGGGTTAAAAATATTGAAAAACCTAAAAGTGAAAACTCAGTTGTCCTATTCAATAGGCCTACTGTTTATTATATTGAAAATCTTGTAGGCCCTAATGATAACACAAGTATTTAACTTATTATAAAAGACTAAATAATACTTATTTGTTAATTTGTTAAATTATCCCTGTTAAATAAAATATGACACCAGATTAATGTCATATTTGACCTGCATAGCCTGAATATGCTCAAAGCACAATTCCTAATTGTAAACTTAAAAATTAATTTTTAAATAACTTATATATACTTTTAACCTAAATAAAATAAGAGGTGTTTCAAAATAAATAATATCAGATAGAACATAATTTAAACTTGAGTTTTGTTTTTAATAAAAGTAAAATCAACATAGGATGTGCATTCTACCAGACATGTATCGTTGTGTCCTTAACCAAAAATAAACTCTTCATGCTTGCCAATTGGGTTCAAGCTTTAAGTAACATCTCTGACCGGTGGTAACCTCGTTTTAACTAGGCCTAATGATTTACTGTACACCTTCTTGCAAAGTGATACAAAGTGTAATAATAAAAAGTCAAAAATGTAAATTTATATATAATGTGTGTCAGTATGATTGATCAATTTGTATATGATTAAATTTAACAAGGAATAACATGAAAATATCAAAGTACATATTACTGACATGTTGACTAAAGAATTCCTAGACAAAATCAGTTTCAGGTCAGATACTATCTAGCAAATGAAGGAATCATCACAGAATTTAAGATGTATCCCAAAATTTTTCATCATTCCTGAAACATTTTGTTGCATGAAAATTAATGGTTCCTTTTAATAATATAAGATTTACTTACGTGTCATCGTTTGAAGGCCACAGACTATCATAATCAATAATTTCGGGAACTATCATCTCCCCAAAAAGTATGTGTTCGTTGGCATCAAGTTCATGACCCTGAAATTTCATAAAATAATTTATGAAACATCATAATAAATTGCCTATTTTATTAAGCATATTTCTAAAAAAACCAATAAATGAGAAAAACAAATACATTTTATTTTCAGATCTTATCTAGGCCTATATTTTTTTGACTTGTAGGCCTAATCCTTTAAGATTTAAAAAAAATTCTTTCCCAGTTTAATTTTTTTAGGGGGAAACCGCAACTGGATTGATTATTTTAGCATACAAATAAGCATAATATACAAATAAGTGATTCTTTATTGCCAATAAAAGGATTTGATGCATTGCAAAGCCATAAATTGATGGGTAATGTTGAGATTACAACACACAAAACAACAACAAAAACAATATCTTAGGCCTAGTCCTTTTTAAATAACATTTAAAATGAGCAGACATTTTAATAAGCAGAGCAGCAATAGAAAATTGGTTATTTTCATTTAAACACAATAATCAACACTGTGATACATTTTGCTAATCAGCAAAGCTGCTTAAAAATTGTACAGGGTGTCCACCAGGACAACCAGAAAAAATTCATGAGTAAAAAAAATATTCCAGGTAGGTAGTTCCGGTCGTACTTTTTATACTAAAATTTCAAACGTGTTTTGAGCCAACTCCCGCAATGCTGTTTTAGCGCTAACACAGCTCGCTATTTTAGTTATCGGAAAGAGCATTCTCAGGTAAAGAAACAAAATTTAAATTGCTGTAAGGTAAACTGCCCAAACGCCGAACGACTGCCCAAATCCGAACGAAATTGATTCAAAACGAAATATTAAGAATTTCAGTCCACTACGGTTTAAACTACGATTGCCACCGTATTCAGCGTTTTTCGATCTATAAAAATCAACTTCACTCCGTTTTGAAACATTTGAAGCGTAGATTCAGAAGGCTGTGGATTAGTTGACCGTTACGAGTTTCGAAGTTTGGCGGGAGTGACGCTGCGATTTCGTCTAAGACGTAAGGTAAGTGAGATAAGGTTTTTTCATTACTTAAACTAAACCATTTACATATTTCTTTGTTTTAAACTATTCAGGATGCATTAAAGCTATTTTTAAGTGCCAATACATTATAGAAGTATTGATTTAATTATTAATTATAAGCCGTTCGGAATTAGGCAAGCCAAAAGCTTGGTTTGCCCAAATCCGAACGATCGTTCGGGACTTAGGCGTCTGGTAATTCCCAATTCCGAACGGCTCACTTAATGATTGAAATAAGTTGTAATTTTAACCAAATATTGTATTTTAGTGAAAATAATTTATTCTAAAGCTTGCAACATATTTCAAGGATAGAAAAAAACTTTGTAATTGTCCAACATTTGCTTACAATTGACCGTTTTTAAAGAATGAATTCCAATATAACAATTTTGACATCGCCTAAGTTCCAGTTAAGTTAGACAACATTATTTGTGCATTATTTTAGGTTTTGTTTATTAATATACTCAGTAGCAGTACCTCATTAAACAATTTATTTAAAGTAAAGTATTATTTAATGTTTTTTTATGTGTAGGCTACTTGTATCTATACAAATTTTGTGGTTCGCAGGAAGATGCCTCCTCCAAGCCGACCGATATCCAAACAAAGATACACGCAAGAAGACGTTGAAAAGGCTTTGGATGCCGTCAAGAATGAGGGGTACTCCATATCCGCGGCAGCGAGAGCGTATGAAGTCCCAAAGACTACTTTGTATGACAAGCTGAAAGGAAAATACAAGGAGAACGCCCCGATCGGCCGTCCAGCTGTTTTATCTGATGAAGAAGAACGCCACATTGTACAGTGGGCATTGGACGTGGCCAAAGCTGGATTTCCAGTCACGAAAGACCAGCTCGTTGAAAGTGTTGCCCGGCTCATCAAAGACCTGAACAGACCAACGCCGTTCAAAAACAATGTCCCTGGTGACAAGTGGTTCAACTTATTCCTTGGCCGCCATCCCGAGATCGCAAAAAGAGTCTCTCAGGCATTAACATCATCTCGTGCCAATGTCACAGAGGGAGACATCCGGGCATGGTTCGGCAAGGTCAAAAGCTACCTAGAGTCTAAAGGACTAATCAACATCTTCCTTGATCCTCGTCGAATTTTCAACGCCGACGGACTAATCAACATCTTCCTTGATCCTCGTCGAATTTTCAACGCCGACGAAACGGCGTTTTTTCTATGCCCTTAAGGAAAAACAGTCCTCGCCAGAAAAGGTGAAAAGGCGGTTTACCAGCAAACTGGCAACGATGAAAAGGAGTGTTTGACAGTGCTGGTAAATGCCAATGCCGCAGGAGAGATGGCCCCACCAATGGTAGTTTTTAAATACGAAAGAGTGCCCCCTGCCATTGTCAGAACTTTCCCTGCCGATTGGGGACTAGGCAAATCGGAGAATGGGTGGATGACTCGAGAAACATTCTACGAGTACATTGCGAACATTTTCCATCCTTGGCTTCAATCGAAAAACATAGATTTTCCAATTGTTTTGTTCATCGATGGGCACACCTCACACATGAGCTTCCATCTCTCAACATACTGTTCGCAGAATGACATAGAGGTAATAGCCCTTTATCCAAATTCCACGCATCTCCTACAGCCCCTTGATGTAGCCGTGTTTCGGCCACTAAAAACACAGTGGAAGACCTGTGTTAATGACTGGCGGTTCAAACATGATGGAAGGAGGCTGAAGCGAGAAGAGTTTTCACCTCTTCTGAAAACAGTTTTGGACAGTTTGGATGCGAAGGTTGTAGTGAATGGGTTTAAGGCCACTGGTCTGGATACCCTTGACCCGGAAAAAGTTCACTACAACCTCATCCTCAAAAAAACGAATACACCTGCTAAGACAAATAACCTTAAACGAAAGGCCGAAGAAATCCGAGCTCATCTGAGCTATTTCGAGGTTAAGATGGGACTTGAGAAAGTCCAGAAGTTTGCCCGCGGAGAAATTGAAGTAGAAGACCAGTCACTATTCCAAGTATGGAATTCCATCAAAAATGAGCTTGCCACCCTAAAATGTGAAATATCAGCGTCGGAGAAGGAAAACGAACCTCCATTTGACCCTTCTACTACTTCAACTCCGGATCCTAAACGGCCACCAGCCCTAACACCTGCTGAAGAAGAAATTGTGGACGACGTGCTGGACTTTCCAATCGACCTTCATGAAGACGGAAGTGACCAGTCCGGAATCGTCGAGGGCCGGATAATTGCAGACGGCAACTCTTCCGTGGACGAACAGGGTCTGCAGAACATCATTGACAGCCTAGGATTTACCAACGCAGACCAAGGCATATCAATCGAGGTAGGTCCCGTTTAATAGTTTGATTAAGTTACATTACACAGTAAAAATAAGTAAAAAATGCAAGACTCATTTTAACATTTGTGCTGCAACTTAAAACAAATTAAGTAAAGTTAAGATATCCTACACGGTTGAAAACGGTGAGCACATAAAGGTACCACCCCAACAACGTACCATCACGACAGCCTGACACCACACATTTATCCGATTTGGGGGTTGTCGTGGTGGCACGTTGTCGGGGCAGCACTTCATCACCAACATGCAAGGCAATGGTTGGTGGTTGCATCTTAACAGCAACCCTTAAATACCACTGTTAGAAATTCATATCAACCACCTGTGTTCATTATAGTGAAATATTTTTTATTATCCAAGTTATTATGGTTAAACATGCCTATTGTTGCAGGTGTCTGTCACTGATATTTTGGAGAGCATGCCTGAAAACAATGTTCCTGAGCAGCCTGATCCTGAATGGCTACGTGATCTCCCATCTGAGACCAACCAGCCATCATGCAGCCAAATAGAAACTACGAGCTCTGCAGGTAACTTAGAGGATTTATTCATTAGACATACTTTAGACCAACGCAACGAGGTAATTAAGTTAAACATTCATATCTTTCTATTATCAACTCATAGTATTTTTTTTACATTAAGATGCTTATTTGAAGTGTTATGTTTTTTCTTTTTGATTTCAGGAATGCCCCTACCAGCTTACACCACTCCATCAAAATGCTGCACATCCAATAGTATGCCATCACCTTTTAAAAGGTGCCTGCAGTATCCCTCCCCGACATCCATAAAGAAAAAAGTCAAGAAAAGAGACCCAACACCAGCTGCGATTACGGGAGAAACCTACCGACAGTACATGGAGGCAAGAGAAGCCAAGAAGAGGGAAAAGGAAGAAGAAAAGGAACGGCGGCGAATGATACGTGAAGTAAAGAGAACGATCAAACAAGAAGGAAATAGCAATAAACGGCCAACAACAGCACCCGATGACAGCGATAGTGACTCCCAGGACGAAGAAATTCCCGTTGTTGTAGCCCCCAAGGACCTTGAAAATCTTATGGTCAACAGCTGGGTCGTCGTCCCTTATGATGTGGAAGGGAAACAAGATTATTATCCTGGCCAAATAAAATCAATCAAAAACGACAAAGCCGGAATCAAATATCTTAGCAGAAGAGGAAACAAATTTGTATGGCCTGAAGAAGAAGACTTCGACAATGACGTGCCATTAACAGACATAGTCCAAATTTTAAGTGCACCCACTGTGGAGAGACGTGGTTTCTTTACATTCAAAGAAAAAGTTATGACATAAGTTTCGTTCTCGTACTGACGTAAATTGTAAATTGTACTGACGGGAACGAAACTTATGTCATAACTTTTTCTACTGAGACATAGTGTATAATTTGTATATAAGTGTATTTTTATTTTAAGTTTGTTGATTTTAATTTGGAAATAATTTTAAATTTCACCTGCTGTGGAGGGTCGTGATTTTTTTGAATTCAAAGGAAAAGTTAAATGTTCTTTAAAGTTTCGTTCCCGTAATTTTTGTACATAGTGTATAATTTGTATATAAGTGTATTTTTATTTTAAGTTTGTTGATTTTAATTTGGAAATAATTTTAAATTTCACCCGCTGTGAAGGGTCGTGATTTCTTTGAATTCAAAGGAAAAGTTAAATGTTCTTTAAAGTTTCGTTCCCGTAATTTTTGTACATAGTGTATAGTTTGTATATAAGTGTATTTTTTATTTTAAGTTTGTTGATTTTAATTTGGAAATAATTTTAAATTTCACCCGCTGTGGAGGGACGAGATTTCTTTGCATTCTAAGAAAAAGTTTAATGTTTTTATGTTTCGTTCTCGTCAGTAGACATTTTTGCACATTGTGTATAATTTAATTTGTAAATAAGTGTTTTTTTAAATTCAAGTTTGCTGTATTTAATTTTGCAATAAAAACTGTCACGCAAACCAGTAACTTGCATTCCACTAAAATGAGCTTAATACTTTGCTTTTTCCCTTGGACTGTGCGTTGTTATAGTATATTTTGTTAAATCGACTGGGCAAAAACACATAATCTTGGTGGCCGTGCCGTGGCCGTAGTAGTTAGTAGTTTGATACTACTGCGAGTTATTTCGTCGCTTTCTGCTCATGTCGTCATCAGGTATGTTACTTTTTATATCAACGGCATTTAAAACTTAAATTCAAAGTGGTTCAATTTAAAAAATCCAGTGTTTAGAGTGGAGACCAGACTCGTTCGGATTTGGGAAACCAGCGTTCGGATTTGGGACGTACGCCGTTCGGTATTGGGCTATTCATGGTTGAAACGTTCGGCACTTGTATTACGTTATTTTACAATATTTGCAAGGAGATACTTGTTGTTTGTGACATAAAATTTAATATTAGTTCATAATAAATCCTTGTAAAACAATTATTAATCAAGCCTGGATATAACCAAATAGGATAAAAATACAATAGAATGACCTAACCTCCTCTAACCGTTCGGAGTTTGGGCTGTTTACCTTAATATTGCCTGACACAAGTATTCAATTTTTATATATTAGGTACTGATTAAATAATCCGAAAATTAAAAACTAATCCTTAAACCGTGATCGTGACAAAATCCTGATATTGTGCAACGGTAACCGAAACAATATAATCGTCTCCCGCGATTACAGTAAAGTTATCATCATTTTTCTCGATCGTAGCCTAATTCAAATAATATCCCGTGGTCATCATCGTCAAACAATATTTTTTGGACATCATCATCGTTTCCTGCGGTCACAGAAACGTTATCATCCGCAGGCGCGATCACGGTAAAATCATTAACACTAACATATCCCGCGGCCGTTTGGACATCATCATCGTAACATATCACGCGGTCATGGAAACGTCATTGTCGTCTCCTACGGTCACCGAAACGTCATCGTCGTCTCCCACGGTCACGGAAACGCCATCGTTATCTCCCGCGGTCGTGGAAACGTCATCGTCATCTCCCACGGTCACGGAAACGGCATCGTCGTCTCCCGCGGTCACGAAAACTTCACCGTAGACTCCCGCGGTCACGTAAACGTCATTGTCTTCATCCACGATCACAGAAACGTCATCGTCGTCTCCCACGGTAACGAAAACGTCATCGTCGTCTCCCGCGGTCACGGAAACGTCATCGTCATTTCCCGCGGTCACGGAAACGTGATCGTCGTCTCCCGCGGTCACGAAAACATCATCGTCGACTCCCGCGGTCACGGAAACGTCATTGTCTTCACCCGCGATCACGGAAACGTCATCGTCATCTCCCGCGGTCACGGAAACGCCATCGTCGTCTCCCGCGGTCATGGAAACGTCATCGTCTGCACCCGTGGTCACGGAAACGTCATCGTCTGCACCCGTGGTCATCATCGTCAAACAATATTTTTTGGACATCATCATTGTTTCCTGCGGTCACAGAAACGTTATCATCCGCAGGCGCGATCACGGTAAAATCATTAACACTAACATATCCCGCGGCCGTTTGGACATCATCATCGTAACATATCACGCGGTCATGGAAACGTCATTGTCGTCTCCTACGGTCACCGAAACGTCATCGTCGTCTCCCACGGTCACGGAAACGCCATCGTTATCTCCCGCGGTCGTGGAAACGTCATCGTCATCTCCCACGGTCACGGAAACGGCATCGTCGTCTCCCGCGGTCACGGAAAGGTCATCGTCGTCTCCCGCGGTCACGAAAACTTCACCGTAGACTCCCGCGGTCACGTAAACGTCATTGTCTTCATCCACGATCACAGAAACGTCATCGTCGTCTCCCACGGTAACGAAAACGTCATCGTCGTCTCCCGCGGTCACGGAAACGTCATCGTCATTTCCCGCGGTCACGGAAACGTGATCGTCGTCTTCCGCGGTCACGAAAACATCATCGTCGACTCCCGCGGTCACGGAAACGTCATTGTCTTCACCCGCGATCACGGAAACGTCATCGTCATCTCCCGCGGTCACGGAAACGCCATCGTCGTCTCCCGCGGTCATGGAAACGTCATCGTCTGCACCCGCGGTTATGGAAACGTCATCGTCTGCACCCGTGGTCACGGAAACGTCATCGTCTGCACCCGCGGTCACGGAAACGTCATCCTCGTCTCCCGCGGTCACGGAAACATCATCGTTGTCTCCCACGGTCACGGAAACGCCATCGTCGTCTCCCGCGGTGACGGAAACGTCATCGTCGTCATACGCGATCGCGGCAAATTGATTGAGTTGACCCGGTAAAATACAAAATTCACGCATATGTAATTCCCAGTTTTTATCCGATTTTTTCCCCAAAAAAAAAATCACGCATAATTCCTGGTTCTCCCGGTCAGTGGACATCCTGTTGAAGCATTCCAAAAATAGTAACTGACACTGTGAATAAAATATTGTATGCCTAACCATTGTTTTATCTACCAGAAAGGCTACAGTAATGTAACTTATCAATTAAAGTAATATGAAATAAAAATGAATGTACCTGATTGTAAAAGGGAGAAGAGAAATGCTCTTCATCATGAATGGGGTTTAGGAAACCAGTTTCCATGTTGACTGGATATACAGTTGGAACTGAAAAAATAGGAATATCATAGCATAATATTTGATAAATTCTACTTAGTGACCAATGGAATGTTTGGATATAAAGCATATGTCCACTTTTTGTAAAATAAATATAACAAATTATTGTAAGGTAATGTTGTGTGTCATAAGAACATGAATCATATAGGCCCTACCATGCCACTTAGTATATAAGATTAGAATTAAATAAAAAGAAAAATTCTTTCATTGTTGTGTCTACCACACTAATTTTAAATTAAAATACAGTTTTTTAAACTATCATAAATTATTTGCTTAACATAAATATTAATTAGCTATAACAAAATCCCTAAAAATGAGAGTCATCAAGCCTACAGAACATTAAAATGAGACACGGCAATTATAAGAGCTTGAATTGAAATCATAAAAACAAAAACCCTAAAAATGAGAATCAAAAAGCCTACAGAACATTTAAATGAGACACAGCAAAAATTATAAGAGCTTGAGTTGAAATCATGAATACTCACACCGCAGCAAACCTCCAGACTAAGTGAATTTCCATTTGCCTGATTTGATTTTCAATTAAATCTACTTCAATAACATTAGGTCTAACGAGTACCTAGGTTAGCTGCTACAAGGAGGGTAATAAAGTGTGGTTTTTTTTAGTAAAACAATTTTAGTATGAAAGAAATAGATTTGCCAAGTATCAAAATATATACATAAACAAGCAAATTACAACAGTTTACTTATTCTCCATAAGAATAACATGGAGATCTTAAATTTGAAATTTTTTTACTTTCTCCCCCTATACCATAGTATATGGAGAAAGTATTATTTTTGTCAAAATTTTCGAGTTTGAGTTTTGAGTTCCTTTTAGGGTTCCCCTGGACCCAAAAAAGTGGTTTTTGAAGTGATATCTGTGTGTCTGGATGTGTACAGAGCTAGGGACTACATCTCTGTGTTCCGATTTCGATGAAATTTGTTGTGTAGGTTTCTAATCCATGGTACCGGTATCTCCAGGTGTTTTATCCCCATATAAATTAGCCCTTTAAATTCTGAACAAAATGGTACGACTCCATTTCTGTAAAAATTATGGTTAGAAAGTTATTGTAAATTAGGCTAGGCCTATGTTATTTTCCCATAAAAACCCCATAAAATAACAAATACCCCCGCCACAGCAAACCTGCAGACTAAGCAAATTTCCATTTACCCAGCTTGATTTCTAATCAAATATTCCCTAAAAATTGTCAGATTTATTTCATATTTAAATAGGGTAGAGTGGGGGAATTATGACCCGGAGGTAATTGGGAGCTATTTTTTTAAATTTGTAAATTTTGTATTATTTATTTTTTTAAACAAAATTGTAAATACGTTCAAGTTTAGGCATTCTAAAGGGGTTTCATCACAAATTATTGAATAATTGTAATCTTGTGTTTGATGTAAAAAAATAAAAAAAAATTTTATTGCAACCCTTAGGTCTAGCCTGAAGTACCTAATGTGAAAAACAATTCCAGGCTCGTGCCTAGCGTCCTTAGGACAAAAAATATATATTATATGAATTAATAATCATACCAAAATGTATTTATTGACACATTAAAGGTTTAAGCAATTGTTTGTTAGGGCTTTAAAATTTAAAAAAAAATTAAAAATTAATTTTATACATTTTTTAAAAAATGGGTCTTAATTACCCCGGTGTGGGGAAATGGGACCCATATTTTTTTATCCCACATATAATTAATCAATAATTATATTTGGCTGCAGTGTTGATTATCATGTATTATGTGTAAAAACAGAATTTTGAAGTAGGTCCCAATTACCCCAGCATGGAGTAATTGGGAACCAGTCTCATCGCGTGGTTACATCGGGTTGGAATCACAGATGTACAGAAAAGTAAAAAAATTATTTTACAACCACTTGAATAAGAAACTAGAGCCTAAAAGAGTGAGCTAAGCCCATAATTGGCCTATTTAAAATTATTTTTGGACTGATAACTACCATTTATTAGAAATTCTTTCGGCTGAAAAAGCGAAATTCCGGAAAGTTTGCATATGACAAGAAAAAAGGTTTGACATAAAATATAGGTACTTGTAGTGTTTTTTTTTATTTAACTATACATGTCTTTAACAGTTTAAATCTATATTTTCTGGCTGTTATCTGCTCTGGTTAATTTTTCCTATTTTAAGAAAAAAGTGTAATGTTTTGGAAAAAATAGTTTAAACTGTTGTAATGTCCTAAAAAATTTCCTATAAGAATTTTAACAAGGGAATTTTAAATTTACAAATTTTTTAATTATCTCCGTGACCGTTGGGCATACAACAACGCTTTAATATACAAAATTATTTATTTTTTTAAGCTCTACAAACTGGTTTGGAGAGAAATTATGTAATTTTGTGTTTTTTTGGGGTCAAAAATGGGAAAAATAAATTTTACCCCACAACTCGTTCGCATAGTCCGACTATGCTGGTTCGCAAACTCGTTAGAATAAACGTAGGTTTACACATTTGTACAAAATCAGATAATTTTTGCTTGAGTTATCGCGCTGATGGACACAAATATATATACTGTAGGCCTATATGAATTTGAATGGATGGTGTTTCTGGCCTCTGAGGATATCAATGGTGTTTTTGGCCTCTGGGGACGTCAGAACGAAAAAGTAAATCGGTCCAGGGTCCAGGTCTTATCATGAGCCATGACCTACGGTAATAGCTTAAAACTAAAATAGAAAGACAAATTATACGATATTAAATTCAACATTATTTATTAGGCTACACAAAAATTCATATTCTATTTCAGTCCTATATATATGTCTATGAGTTGTATATTTAAGTATAGGTGGGGGAGCAAGCTGGCGTAGTGGTTAGAACGCGGGACTTCAGTCCCTGAGGTCCCGGGTTCGATCCCCGCCAAGTGACCAATGGATTTTATCTAAGTGATAATGCCGCAACCCTTAGGTCTAGCCTGAAGTACCTAATGTGAAAAACAATTCCAGGCTCGTGCCTAGCGTCCTTAGGACAAAAAAAATATATATTTAAGTATAGGTAGGATGATTCATTATAGGTACCCACTCGCCTTGTGCTCGCTGGGGGCTCCGCCCCCATGCCCCCTTTTAATATTAGCCATGATGAGAAATTGTCACGGGGGACAGTATGTTGTCCGGAATAAGAATAACAAGCGCAACAATAACTTTGCAGTTGCTAGGTAATTCTTAAAGATAACTTTTTCTTGGGATGATTAAACAAGCCATAAAATATTAGTCTTGATGTGTGTTTGGTGTTCTAATACTTACATTTTTTAAGGCATTTACTGTAAACCTATATTTAGCCACAATAATATAGCAATAGCGTTACAATCTAAGGGGATTGAGGAGGTAATAATCAGTTTTTACCTAACTCTGTCATGTGGGGTTTAAACTAGCCTACACCTTATTGTCTACAAATTGGCTAAATAACTTAGGTACGGTACTTTATAAAAGCTGACTGACTTTTTACGTTGACTTAAGTTGTAAGCTTACCTTCTCCCGTCCCTATTATGTTACTATGTTTATACTATTAGGCCTACTATTACTATTATACTATATTGAAAAGGAAAGTACCTTCGTTTTACAGCCATTTAGGAAACCCTCTGACAAAACTGTTTGCATTTTTGTACTCAGTGTGAAAAAAAACTGTAAGAAGATAAAGATAACGGTAGGTATAAGTTTATCAAAATTACATCTTTCCCCAATGTAGACATACAGAATAATTGCCATAACTTTAACTTGCATTGTTTCTTATTCTTTAAAAGTGAAAATATTGAGATGTAAAATGATCAAGGCTAGGCTATGAGCTTTAACTTAGGTTCATGGTCACCTACGCTACATTAGGCCTACATAGAAATAGCATAAGTTAGGTAAGTGCTAAATTTACAATATTATACATCTAGAGTACAGTAGAAGTTTTTAAAACCGGATAAGGTTGAATTATATAAGTTGGGCCAAGGCCTGGAAAACTATGATTGAGGATCAAGGCTAGGCCTAACTTATTACCGGTAGGGTAAACAGTAATTTAAACTAGGTTAATCTAATTTAACCCTCCCAGTGTTACTTGACGAAAATTCGACAAGCAGCACACTTTGTGTAGTGTTACTTGTCGATTTTTCAACACGCAGACATCGTTTACGGCGAAGGCTCTATGACTGACTGAATCGGATTGAACTGGATCGAGTTAGGTATCGTTCTTTCCGTAATATTCTAAGCTTTCTCCAGAGGTCTGTCTCTAAGCGCTATTCATTTTAGTTCCGAAAATATTGTAGCAGACAGCTGACGTGCGTGTATTTGTAAACAGCTAGGTTCCCCCGGACCGATGACTGATGTGTTTTATTACGTTTATCATTGTTTTAGTGTTAAAAATCAAAAGTAGGTAGTGATATACGTGGTGCATTATAAGAAGATTTAAGTGGTTTTGAAGTGCTGGTTGATGATCCTGAAGAAGTAGGTAGTGATATTGATGTAAATTATCAGCCAGATTCCTAGCTATGGTTAGGCTATGCATTCTTAGCTAAACGCTATGTACTGAAATCAGTTTTTTGCCCATAACTTATTTATTTGCAAATATACTTCCTTATATTTTTATATATTTGTAATCCTCATAAAATTTAGAACAAAGTGGCTATTTTCAAATATTTATAGGCCTATAATTTATACAATTTCATTGAGCGCGAACTTATTTTTTTTTTGAAAATTTTCGAAATTATATTTTTTTACCTAAAATTTTTTTTTTTTTGAAAAAATGTTCCTTATGTTTTATATATAATATTGAAGCCCATGATTTTCCAAACAAAATGGTATATAGAACATTAGAATTAACATTGTTTTAAGCTTCTCAGATCCGTTTTAATAAAACCTTGCAAATGCGCCAAAAATAGGTGGACATTAAGGCCTAAACTATGGACACTTGGAGGGTTAAGGTACATAAAATGTCCTAACAACAAAAACCATAAAACCAAAATAATAGAATAGCGTCGGCCTAGATGTAAATAAACAGTTAAAGTAGTTTTAAGCTAGACCTAATTGGCCTAGGTTACTTCTCAAGGTGAAAGTTAATCGATCAAGCATGCCAAAAATTACAGACCAAATTTAAGATTGTAAGTACCCTATTATAATTACTACCTGTGAATGAGGGAGAACGATAAGATCATGCATAAGCTTAATTACTGATTCATGAGATATTATATCAATACAAACAATAAACTAAAAATAGAATTATGTACAATCCGCCGAGTTGGAAAACGTGGTCTGGGTAACGACCATGTAAAACATATTTTTTCACTGTATATCCAAATTTTATACACCAGAGAACTATAAACTACAGTTAACATATACAATTTTGTTAATACTTAGTATAAATTACAATAAATATAGATATACTTACAATTATAATTATCTTAAGAACAACACCATGTGGTGTGAAAACCGCGGCCGACTGTCCTAACCTTAACTTAACAAAAATATTTTCTGTGGTCACGTGGGAAGCGAGCTGTATCTAGATTACAGGAAATTAGCATTAGCTCTAAACATTACTATATAAATTGTTTAATTTTTGAATGTCTGCTTTTTAATTCGGAAAGTGGTCAATGAATTAAGTTTATATTTTAACAACCAGTAATACCATAGATAAAACATACTCCGTCTATGGTAATACATAGCTTACTGGGTAGGTTAGTAGATATAGTTAAAAAATGTAATAACAATTTAAATAAAATACCAAACCTTACTTACTTGATACTTGAATACTGCATCGGTGACCAACTAAGTCGGAAAATATTGCATCAATTGTAAAAAAAAATAAAAACTAACAACGATGGCAGCAGGACAAAAGGTGGGTGGTGTGTCCTCTAGCTCATTTATAAAATACATAGGTCTGCACACGAAATAGTCCGTCAGTGTGACTCTAAAAGTCCTATGTCCAGATTGCGGACTTCAGCTGGGAGTGTGTTATTAAAGCTTGCTCTGATAGCCATCTTGGGTTCAGGCAAGACGGCATCCAGGCAGGTCAAGGAGATGGCCACCCAAAGTAGCACACAATGTTGTCCCAGCGTTGGGAAATGGTCAGCATGGTTGGGAAATGGATGGCGAAAATGTTATCGTTTTGCCAACGTTGGCCCAACGGAAAACTTATACTTACTTCAGTTCCCACACCAATTTTAATTCACTCATCAATAACTCCGACCATCCTACAACAGCTGATCCTTGCCCAATATCTCTTTCTCTCTCACACAACTGATAAGCATAAGCTGGTCTAGGGTGTCCCTTGCTACCTGTGCGGTCGGTCATCTTTTGTTAGAACAGGCCTGTTTTATAAATGTTTAATTGTTTTATGTATTTATTCGTGTATTCGTACTGTGTTTATCCTGACGATGTTAACAACTGATCAACTCTACATTGTACCTGAAGCTGACGATGGTGTTTTAACACCGAAACATGTCCTGAATAGACATATTTTATTGAGCTGTGACGGGATTTACGTAAGTAATTTAGTCTTACATTATGTCCAACAGCTCAGGGGCTACATACATGGATTTAAATTGGGAAACTTATATTCATTGGCCATACAAAGGAAAGAATCGTTGGGCCTTCGTTGGGTTTAATTATAAAACATTCTAAAACTTATTTAACGAATTGATTTATTTAAAAGTACATAAATGTGATGACAACAGAATATAAGAAAATATTGGAGAAAATTTGATCTATAATAAGTAGTCATATGATGTTGTGATACTAGATACAGTGGGGAACACCTGGATTTCGTCGTACTTGCAAATCTGACGAAGACTTAGCTGTGGTAATTGGCAATGCAGGGTTCGTATTCCTCTTCCGATTCATTGCCTTGGTAATATTTCCAATTAAATTTTACTTTAGTTTGTCAATCAGAATCAATAAACCATGTGTTCCCAGTTGCAAGTTACCATCAGTTGTAACTCAACTGTATAAGTATGGTTCCTATTTTCCATTTTACCTTCCCTTCAACAAAAGTACGAATGTATACACTTTACTCCCAATAGAAAAAATGACTTTGGCATTAGATCGTGCTGGCACCCTGCTTTGTTTACCTCTTGAGATTGAGAAGGCTTGATAAAATCTCATTTAGTTCGAAGATTACGCCTCAAGAACAAAAACGCAGGTGTTTGCGTCCATATTTCAATATGTGAGGTGTAGCTCGATAGTAAAATAAAAAATGTTCTCACCTATGCACCCACAACTTCCCATCATACAGACCCCTATAACATAAGACCCCACTCCCACAACATAAGACACCGTTACTAGTACCACTCAAGAGTTTACCATTGAATGTTTCTCTGTGTACTTTACCTTCTTCTCTGTGTGTCATTAGTTTATAGTAATGAATTCAGTTAAAAAAATCATTTCGAATTTTTAACCTTTTAAAGTTAAAACTAAAAAATCACTTTAAATTACCATGTGCACATAATTTAAAATGTACATATTTATCTTTGTATTCCCTACACGGACATTTGAATCTGAATCAGTCCCTTAAATTAATAATTAAGGAAAATCCATTTGAGTAACGTTCCAAAATGTCATTTAGGTAATGGCATGTGTCTATGTGTCCACTATTTAATTATTTTTGTTTTATAAATTGTATTTGTTAATTATGAAAAATAATAATAAAGGGGCATATATTAGGTACAAATTCGGTAAATTCATATGTTGTGTTTGTAATCACACAATCAAATTGCATTATTTGATCTAATTTCTTTTGAGTGAGTGGTGAGCTATTGTCATTATTATTATTACAATTATTCCCAATTGAGATGGATATACAGGTCATCCATATACTAAAGCAAGGTGTTGCCTCGGCCTTGACTAAAGTAAGTGAGGCGGTTGAAAAAAGGATTTAAATTCATTGTTAAGCCCCTGATGAGCTGTATATATTTATTGTAAGAATAAATTACATACGTCAAATAGCTCAATACTGGATGGTAAATTTCAGTCAGAACATGTTTCGACACGCATGTTGTGTCATCATAATGCTGAGTATGACACATGTTGAAACATGTTCTGATTGAAATTTACCATCCAGTATTGAGCTATTTGACGAAAGTAATTTATTCTAACGAAAACAGGATGTTGATTGGAGTGATGTTCTATTAGTGTGGCCTTGCGGATTTAAGTGAGGTAGATGGGAATGTATATGGTGTTTGGTTTTGAGACATTTGACGAAACAAAGGAGGGAGGTGATTGTATGTCGACAAAGTATGACACCAGGATGAGTGAGATGGCTCGGGAAACTGGAGTTTTGGCAGTGAGTGGTTTGCAATCTGGAAACGAAACATATGTACATGATTTAATCATTACAGTAAACTGGCATTTACGCATATTCTTGTAATTATTTAAAGATAATGTTATACCACCTAGGCCTACTATGGCTGTCTAGCCCTGGCCCTCTGATAATATAATATATGGTATCAGTTAAGAACAGCGGCAACCACGAATACTAGCAAAATACGGCAAGCAACATCCAAAATTACTTCTGCTAAAAATCCCTTTTTATGAATATTTAAATAATACGAATACATCTTAGATTCAAGAGATTTATTGTACCATTCAGTATAAATACAATATTTAACGTCAAAAACTATGCTCTAAATGGTCAAAACATTCATTTATGTTTATACTATACTAAATCAATGAGCTTTTTATAGCTATACATTTTCATACATGTTCATTGTCACCACAGCCTTGATGATGTAACTTCTGTCTCTGTCATGAAGTTAGTCTGTCAACGTCAACCCAACTTCAACTGTTTCACTGTTTCCATTCCAGTCCATTCCATTATTCATTATTCCATTCCACATGCATGGTTTTGAGTTTTGACCAAGCCGAGACCGACCCATCCAATAAAGATAACCTCAAATAAATAAAACAACTTTTCTTTCACATTGGATTGGCACTTAGCACTTACTTACTTGGCAGTCGAAGTAGTAACGTTAGTTGTTGTAATTAAGTTGTGTTGTGTTATCAAATCACGAATCCATTGTCCAATTAACACAAAACTATCATGGCTAAACTCTGTTTAAGTAAGTACAGTATTGTGTTTATTTAATTACTTTATCACAATGTTGTGTTATAGGCTAGGCTATTTCACCAAGACCAAAGAGGGAGACGAGCTCAAAAAGTATTTACCTTAGGCCTAGGCCTACTGTTGAATAGTACTTGATACTTGTGTGCTGCGTCGCTGACCGACAATATCGGATAGACTGCGTTATTATATATACATTTAAAAAATAAGCACTAGGCCTCCTACTATTTACATAGGCATACATATAAACTTTATCAGGCTGTGGCGGTAAATAAAACGAGTTTCCCATTTTTAGAGAAGGGCATTTATGTAACTTTTAGGTTCTCTTCACTCAGCTCCTCCAGCGAGTATAGTGGCCTATTTGCTAAGCTATTCCTGATTGCCGCTTTGAAAGAGGTGATGTTCATATCCCGCACCTTATCCGGCAAGATATTAAAAAGCATATGGCATAGCGGGGATAGCTCTTGAGGGTGCGGGTGAGACGACTTCGCGGCATGTCAAGGTGTAGTGCTTGCCGGCCGTGTCATAGCGGTGATGAACTTCTCTTCGGTCAAAAATTTGGACATTCTCCTTCAAAAGTATTAGGATGTTCAATACGTATTAACCGAAGACTGTAAGAATGCCCAGATCTTTATAAAGGGGCCTATAATGTTCGTTGTAGTTGGCTGACATGATTCTTATAAAGCTTTTTTTTGGAGCAATAATATGTCCTGTGCTGCTGGTGAATGACCCCAAAGTACCAAGCCGTAGGCCTACATAAGATGGCTATGAAACAGCATGGTACACAGTTATCAAGAATTGCTTCGGGATGATGTTCCGAAGTTTCCTTAGGAGTCAAATAACCCTTGATAGCCGTGCACATAGGTACCCTATCAATATGTGAGCTCCAGCTCAGTTTGGAATCCAACCAGAACCCTAGAAGTTTCTGTTTAACCGCCTCATCCCTTTCGTTTAATGGCTTCAGTGTGCAGAGAAAGAACTGAGTTTTGGCTGCATTTAATTTCAGGCTGTTTGCTGTAAACCAGTTCTTGGCCAGCTCAAAAAGATGGTCAGCTTCAATAGGCCTATGCAGTTGCTCAATGTCGCTTCTTCTAGATATCAGGGTGGTGTCGTCAGCGTAAAGGAGGGTGGATCCATTGAGCCTCAAGTCGTTCACCGCCACACTAAAAAGGAGAGGGCCGAGCCCTGTGGCACTCCATGTGAGATACTCCTAACACAGGAGAAGGCCCCATTTATGTAAATAGGACGAAAGTTTGATAATAGCGATGGGTCTCCCCTCTTAAAAATAGGTATGGTTTTTGCTACCTTTAGGGAATCAGGAAAAACCCCACACTTAAGACTAAGGTTTACTAGTCGAGTCAGAGGCTGTAGTTTAAACTCAATTGTGTTCTTTAAGATGGAGCAAGAGACACCGTTTACATCTTGGATGTTTGAATCCTTAAAACCCCTAACAATGCTAAGAATACAACTTCAGTAGGCAATGTTTAAAACCATATGGTAGGCTATAAATAGGTCTAAATGTGCCTTTCAGTTTTTGCCCATCAGCTAATTTATTTTCCTGCTAATTCCAGCTGCACTTGCCAAGTAGCTTTACAAGTTTGTCCACCTCCTCTCTAGTTTTGAGGATGCTAACCGAGGACTGACTGAATCTTGTCTTCATTTTTCTTCAGCTTCATTGTTATAAACAACGAGGTGTAAGCCCGTCCTACGCACGGGAATTCAGTAGTCAGTTAAAACCGTGTACAATTCAGATCAGATAGTTTACACATATAAAGACAAAGTTTCTTGCAGTTTTAATGTGAAAAATCATCTTGTAAACAAATGTTGTGTGACCAAATATGTTTTTATTCCATCATAGGCCTATACGATATGAATTTTAAATCCGATAAGTTTACAATAAAACAGCAATTCTGCAATTTTTACGATGTGAAAAGCGTTGAAGTAAGATTTGCAGCCGATTCGCACAGAAGCACACTGATTATAAGTAGCCTACAGTAGAGAGAGTAATAGTCAATTGAGAAGTGTATAGACCTAGTCAACGATACCGCCTTCAATAGCATACCTGCCTCTTCCATAATTATTATCACCACAATACAACTACTATACACAATTTCCAGTGGGTCTGAATAGAAACAACCTAAAATAAAACGATAATATCCAATAAAATTCACAGTACACATAATTTAACTTTGGTGTCCTAAAATCAAAACTAATCGTCACACCTATCCTTTAAATCAAAACTAATCGTCACACCTATCCTTTAAATCAATTTGAGTTTGTTTTGAAACAGCTGTTTGGTTCAAATAACATTCATTTGAAAAAAAGAACTGGTCACATGTAGCAGGAATATAAAAAGTAAACACGCTAGTAAAGCTAATGACGTAATTGTCAATGTTTATTATCCATACCGTTATCAGTTCTATCCTTGATAATTACCCACCCTCATTGAATAAGTGTACATCGTAATTTCCCATATTAGTTAATTTAAACTACAATATATTCATAGTTGAAATAAAAGTGATATTTTCACGTTTAGGGGCGCTGATAGGCACCCCCAAACGTAACCACACTATACGCGATTTCATAAAAGGATGGTTTGTCTAATTGCAGTATTCTAGGTCAATGTTGACGTTGTGTTCAATCTTTGTATAAAACTCGGCTGATGTTGTGGTGGTAATTTAAAATCGTGATTCCTGATTATTCTTGATCTTTTTATGACATCAATATTTCCGGGCCTAATCCAAACAAAGTTAAAGCAGACAAACATTAATTGCAAACAAAAAGCTACCATGAAGAATTAAATCATGTAAACATTGTTATTTTTCTATCCTTTCCTCGAAAAGTGGAATAGTAAAATAATTTGCATTTATCCTTTTTGTATTAAGACTCGTGTACAGAGCCTCGATTTGTGCTGTGGTTTAATTAATTTTGGTTAAAACTGTAGTTTAAACTGTGGTATATCTACTAATCTTACCGTACTTATTTCCTATAATCAATGACAAAATAAGAGTAAATAAAATAACCTCATAGTTCCATAGTTTATATTTAACCAGCTGTTAGTTAAAACAAATTATATTGCTCTAAAACAAATCGAAGATTACAAAGATTGCTTTAAAAAATAATTTGAACATCCTAGTATTTTACTATGTATATTTAATTAATCTGTCATCCTCTTACAGAAGAATTGAACGTATCAATGATTAGCATTACACATAGTATAAATAAGTCAACCATAAGTATGTCTTTACATTTTTATCCAAATGCTGAATTTGTGACACAAAAGCTGAATGTTTACAGCTGTTATGTTAAGTAAATTATTTTATGCCAAAAGCTAGTTTAGAGTCTTAGCGTCGGCTGCTAGACTTTTTAAAAATTAAAACTTAATTTCTAAAAAACTGGGACCCTAAACTAAAATTATGGCTTCGACATTCCCTAGTTCTCAAAATTATCTTTCTTTCAACACAAAAATCATGAAAATCCGTCGAGTGGTTGATTCAGAATCGTGAAATAAAAAAACACACTTTCGTTTTAATATTATAGATTCCTTGGCCCAGCAGTTGTTCGGCTTCTGTTTTCAGCACTGACAGATATCGCCCAGTTGAGAGATTAGGTTAGTATTGTCTTCAAAGAGCAATGTGTGACCGTTTAGTCATAAGTCATTCACCATGAACAGGCCACGGACCGATACTTGTGGTACTCCGTAAGTAAGTTGTTACTCCAACTCTTGAAGAGGTTACTCAGTAGTCAGTACAATTTGCTTCTGTATTTCAAGGTATCCAGCCAGTGTTTTCAGGACCGTCTCACTGATTCCATAAGTTACTTGTTAAGTTTGGCCACTAAAATGTCATGCAAGGTCATTTCAAATGTTTTGCTGAGATCACATAAGTTAGGTCAAGATGCACGGACTCTCTGTTTTCGAAAACATCTGTGTTATCATCTCAGCAAGGTTAAGAAGGCCTGTGGTGGTGGATCATGTGCTCTTAAAACTGTGCTGGGCATTGCTTAGTATCTTAGATTGTGGGCTTCGAGTCATTCCACAAGTTGTTTTTTTCATTATGGTCTCAATTACTTAAGAGAACTTGGGTAAGCTAAGATGGTGATAGCTGTCGTAATTTTCGCCAGAATTTTCAGGTCCCCTTTCTTGTAGATCAGAATAATGGTCCTAGCAGTTTTAATGCTAGATCTGGATTCTTGATGAAATATTACAATTATTTTAGGCCTGTTTAAAATGTCAATAGGTATTTCATAAATCAAATATGAAAATTAAAAACGGATTGCAGCATTGAGTTCAGCACAAAAAAGTAGGCCAATTCAAAATGATGGGTCACAACACCACCTTCATATTTAAAATAATTTAATAAAATAATAATCACATTTCAAAATGGCGGATTTAGGATGGTGGCCGAAAAAAATACATCCGTCATAGCCAAGTGAAAATAGGTCGACAATGACTGGTGATGTTACTCATCTTTATCTAGCACTATTTTGAGATTATGGTCTTAGTTGGTACCTAAATGCACAATATTAAAATGGGCTAAACATAAAGTTATAAAAAGTTCTCATAGCTTTAGAATGGATAAAGATTTTTTAAAACGAATTGTGGCATTGTAATCAGCATAAAATTCTAGTTAAAATCATGAGTCACGACCTCTTCATGAGTCCTATCATGAGTCCTTTACATTTGAAAAAAAACTTTGTATTCTATATGGTGGATCCAAGATGGCGACCGAAAATAAATTTATACCCAGTCAAAATGAAGTACCTACTTACAACTCTACAGTAATCTGATGTGGTCCAGAGTTTATATCTTAAGAAATGTAGAAAAAATAGGGGGGGGGACTCATTTAAAACTCACCATTTATATATGTGTCCGTTAGTGCGATAAGACGATCAAAAATGATCCGATTTTGAGATATTTGGTGGGAACCTATGCTTATTCGAATGAGTTTGCGAACCAGCATGATTGGACTATGGGAACCCCGGTTTATGGAGGATTTTATGGGGTAAAAATTGGTTTTTCCCATTTTTGACAAAAAATTCACAATTTTTCCAGACTATTTTGTAGAGATTAAAAAAAGAAATAATTTTATATATTGAAGGGTTGTTGTATGCCTAACGGTTACGGAGATATGTAGGCCTAATAAAAAAACTTTAAATTTAAAATTCCTACGTTATTCTTATGGAGAATAAATAAACTGTTGTAGTTTGCTGTTTTATACAAGCATATTGTTGTATTTTTCTTGTTTATGGATACCGGTATATTTTAATCAAATTTGGCAATTTTGTTTATTTCATACTAAGCCATCAACATTTCAATAAAAACACACCTCAATACCTTCCCTGTAGCAGCAAACCTAGGTAGACTACTCATTAAAATTAATGTTATTTAAATAGGAAAAAAATCTGACCATTTTTAGGGATTATTTTTGTAGAAGTCCAGCCAGGTAAACGGAATATTGCTTAGTCTGCGGGTTTTCTGTGGCGGGGGTGTTGATAACATATTTACTAGATAACAAATCATACTGATTACTCATACTTTCCGTTGCCGGCTTCAATACCACTGCATCATGCTCAGCCACAAGTGAGTTTGCAACCTCCACCTGACTGTCCCATGCGTTGATGTTGGTAGCGGCGGCATCCAAGCAGCAACTAAAAAGGTCATTTCCTTTAAAGCTTCGCCTTTCAATGTTTTTAGTATTGTTTACAAAGATTCAGTGATGCCAATGAATACAAATCCTTTATTAAGAATCAAAATGCTTATGGAGAATAGTCTGCCTGAAATTTTTCCGCCGAAATGAGCTTCTCGTAGCCATTGATAGGATCCCTCGTGCGGCGGCCGCGTTACTCTATCTCTCTCTTGCTCTAAGCCAATTCTTTGTCTCACTCTCACTCATTCAGCTGACTTTTTTTAAAAGAGATTGGCGGTCTCTTTTAACCTTGCATTTGCCCGTCCACATAGACTAACTGCCGGTACAGTTCGAAGGTGAACCGTACTGATAAAATGTTAACGGCAGTTACCAAACATCATCCAAACATCATCGCTGCCTAGGGCCCGAAGATTGTGACACTACCGACTGAGCCACCGACTCACCTACTAACTTGGCCACGTGCTCTCGATAGTCTACATTACCATAATAAAGTACATAAATTCGGCTTGGCCTAATAATTAATAGAAATGAATTTAAAATTAAAAACCTCTATGGTAATATTGTAAACACATAGCCAAACCATATAAGCCAACCAATAGGCCTACTAATAAAAAATTTAAAGTGATTTTTATAACTTTCACTTTTGTTCTACTGTATTATGATGCCTAATGTTGATAGTGATTTGTTTGTTTCAGAAAAACAAAGCAAGAGAGTTCCAGCTGCTAGAAGATACAAAATAATAAAGAAAGTAAGAGAACATAACAGGAAAATACGAAAAGAGGCAAAAAAGAAATCTATTGGTAAGAAATAAATAATAACCACTAAGTTAACCTACATCTATCTAGTTTCTTTCTACGTTTAGGGCCTAGCTTATCCAGTCATTTCAGTCATAATTTAAGTTAGTTGTGGTTAGGTTTGTTATTAGTTATGGTGCTCTCGTTTTCCTGAAGTAGGTAGGCAGTGTAAATTGGCATTTGTTGTTACAGACAAAATAACTGACAGTCAGAAATTAAGATAGGTACCGGTACTTAAGACATTTCTGTCTTTTATGATATCAAAGTAAAAAAAAAAATCCTTATGATTCTTTACAATGTAATTTTATAGAGGCTAAATAGATAACAACCAGTAAGCAATGAAAGAAAGAGCAGTTACTTTTAAAAACAATTAAAACAGCTTAGATGACTCTTTAAAAATAGAAGAAAATGTGACACACATGGGCAATATTTACATGGTATGAAGCTATTTGTTGCTATACACAAGTGTAACGTAATTTGTAATTGCAGCCAGATTGTTGATACCGGTACCGTTTATTTTACTTTGAAAATCACATATAAATAAGCCAATAACCAGTTGGTTTGGTACCAGACAAACCCAATTGGTACTGTACGTTCTTTCTTGTAAGAAGAATCTTTCTTCAGATAAAAATATAATTTACAAATTTGTTCTCGACGTTGCAGGGAAAAAGAACAAGATTATAACTGTTCCCAATATTTGCCCGTTTAAAAGTCAAATCCTTGAAGAGGTTGCTGAGTATAAGAAACGTAAAGAAGAAGAACGATTGAAGCAAAGAGAGTTATGGCAAAAAGAGCAAGAAGCTAAAAAGGCAGAAAAACAAACTGGCATGGACTTAGAGACTCTTGTGTCCAATGCTCGTACTCGCCAAATCCTACACGAGAAGTTTAACGATGGCCAGGAGGAAGAAGAGGTTGAGTCAAGGACAAACAAAAAGTCTGATGGTTCTGTCAAAGCCTACTACAAGGAATTCAAAAAGGTATTAGACCAGCAGATCCCAAACCATTTTTTCTAGAGATTCCAACCTTCTATCTGGAATTTATTTTTTAATCAATGCTTTAAATAAATTATAATAATATTTTTAAATGAGTATGTGCTCTTCTGAGAAATTCCCCTCTGAATAAATTATGAAGGTAATAATATGATTGATGACACAATATTCAGTTAAAAAACTTAAAACGAGACTTTTGGAGTTGAAGTTACTACTTGTAAATCTGTGTTGTAGTGGAGCGGGGATACGAGGAAAGGGTGTTCCCACTCTTTTTCTAAAGAACCTATTTATTTATAGGCTTGTATTTTTTCTACGACAATGTAGTGTGTTTCTGCACTTGGTTAATTTACGACTACACTACTGTTGTAAGAAATTCCGTGTTTCTTGATTGAATGTGTATTACTGTAGGTGCAGGAATTTTCCACACAAAGGCTAGATGTATGTATTTATTTTCAGCCACACCAAATCCCATTAACTCTTACGCTAGCATGTCTACTACATACAGAATTGAAACAAGTATTTAATTATAAACTTAGTTTTTTCATGAATTGTTTTTCACATTTCCGTTGTTACAGGTAATAGAAGCAGCTGATGTGGTGCTAGAAGTTGTTGATGCCAGGGACCCGATGGGCACTCGGTGTAAACAAGTGGAAGCTGCAGTCATGGAGTCACCTACTCGTAAGAGACTCATCATCGTTGTAAACAAAGCAGGTAAATACAGTGTTAAAAAAAAATATATGAATAGCTAACAGGTTGTGAAAATGGTATGCTTACTTCTTAATTCTTCATCATCAAATTATTATCCTGCTATGAACAGTAAGTGCAATCTAGTTCTGTAAATTTTAATCATTACTTCTTAACATGTTCGCTGCGGCCCATCGGTCTGACAAATAGCAAATAATGTGCGGTGATGTCCTGCTTTATGACGATAGTCAATGTAGTTCGCTAAAACACCCACAGATAGCAGCACTGCTTTGAACGTAGCCGGTCCCATTGTATTGCCAATTGGAGGGAGAAGGGATTAATGACATTGAAGGATTCCTATGGTACCAATACACCTTTTGGGTTTTCTTAATTCTCATTAAGTTAAATGCACACTTAGCCTACTTCGTTGATGAAAATATCTGTATTAAACAGCAGATTTTCTATATTATACCATACCACACACTCATACCAATACTGAACCAGATATACAGTTAAACCGGGCAGAAGCTGGATGTATGAAAGAGTGACTTTTCGCCTAGTGCCTGAAGATAACAAGCGACCTAACAAATGCTCCCCAACGTTTTTGTTTTTCTTTTGCTGGTAGTCACTTCTTTTTGGGTGTAGCCGTCTTCATTTTATTTAATGTTATTCATTCTTTGGCAACGAGGCCGCAAGGCAACCGAGTCGCCAAGTGTGACCATAGCCTTAGTTTGTAAACAAATTAACTTCTTTTATGAAGACAATTCCCTGATTGCAATGTATTTTTTAATTAAAAGATTGCATTTTTTATAACTAATGAGCCTATATGTTTCACAGATTTGGTTCCAAGGGAAAACCTTGAAAAATGGCTCAAAGTCCTTCGGGGCAGTTTTCCTACAGTTCCTTTTAAAGCCTCTACACAAATCCAATCACAAAAACTTGCCCAACGTAAAATGAAGAGGAAACACAGACAAGCAGGAGGAGAACTTAAGGTATGAATTAAACGTTTTTACTGAGTTAATTTCCAAATAACATAAATCATAGGTATTTCATTTAAATTAGATATCCAAGTAGCTTTTCCAAATAAGTTTTCTTTGTTTTAAAACCCTTTATTTCAGGTGTCTGCGTGTGTAGGAGCAGAGCTGCTTCTGTCACTGTTAGCCAACTATTGTCGAAATAATGGAATTAAAACTGCTATCAGGGTTGGTGTTGTTGGTGAGTAATGAATCATATTTTTGGTCCTAAAAGTATCAATAAAAGAAAAGCTAATGTAATGTCAATTGATTTTTAATGTTTTTCAAGCCGGGGTATACTAACAATAATTTTTTAATTAGGCCTATCAAACAATAATTTTTTTCCCAATTCAATTAAAAAAATGTAACTGCTCATCTGTGATTTTTCCTATGATAGTGTCAAATTTGATCAGTGATTCAAACGATCAACATCTCAAATGGAAACCTTTATTTCTAGGAGTCTTTTAAGAACAAGACGTATAAAATAACTAATCTAAAAATGTAGTTACTAGTTACGTATCATTGATTGCAGATAAGTCCTAAAATTATAATTATTGTTGAATTGGGATTCAGCTGTGTGCTCCAAGTACCCGGTACATCTGATCATAGTAATCAATAGCTCAAATAAGCTGGTATTATGTTTTTTGCTAGAGTACTACAGTATATAAATGAATGATGATGCTTGATGGCAAATCTGTGTGTGCATACCAAAAATATTGGATAATGTACACCCGGGTAGAAGAGCCAAACCGACTCAGAAAAGAAATACCAAAATTTTTAATATAGATAACAAATTTCGAATCTCATAACATTAATAAATTTTATAGGTCTACCAAATGTTGGAAAAAGTAGCGTCATAAACAGTCTGAAGAGAAGCAGAGCTTGCAACGTGGGAGCTACTCCTGGTGTTACAAAGTAAGTGACAAGCCAGTGAACTGACTGATATTATACCACCTAAAACCCAGACACACACTTTATACACCAGTATGTTTATGTTGGTATTGTACTTTGAGTTTGAATGTTAAAAGTAAGATGAAATTACTATTGATAGTTGGACTTTTATTATCAAATGAATTCTGATGCCACATGTAGGTAAGGTAAACAACTTTCCCTGGAATTAGCCAATAGTATTGAAGCTTATCGTGGGTAAATTTCCATTCACCTGTTGAGTTTGGTAAACGTGACTTTAAATCTCAATTTACTTTCACTTACTGTTTGTTGTAGAACAATGCAGGAAGTTCAACTGGACTCTAAGATAAAGCTTCTAGACAGTCCAGGAGTTGTGTTTGCCACTAGGAAGTGCCAGGATGAAGGGAGTTACGCTCTGAAGAACGCTGTCCGAGTACACAACATCGACCCATTGCCAGCTGCTACAGCTATCTTGCAGCGCTCTACCAAGGAGCAGGTAGGCACTATACACCTTGGCAGCACTTTTTTATATAAAAAAATTGAAACTAATCAACCTAAGGAATTTATGTTTGGGAAGGTCATAAAACACAATTTGGTTGATTTTAACAAGTCATATTGTACTTACATTAACTTTTTCTTACAGATGATGGATTTGTACTGCTTGCCAGAATACAACACACCAGAAGAGTTTTTCGCCCTCAAGGCACAAAGGCAAGGGAAGTTTGGAAAAGGAGGTCGTGTGGATATCAATGGAGCAGCAAGGGGCCTTATTGAGGATTGGAACAGGTATGTGTAATAAGACAGTTTGCAACATTAATTACAGTAATTTTTTAAAATCTTGTCTTCAATAGAAGTGGTTTGACTGGCAAAAATGTTCACTGAGGTCTAGGATTACTGCAACTGATCTGAAACGTTGGTCAGTATTTTTGTCATAAAAAACACACAGTCACCTCCGAAACACCAAGTTCTCACTTGGAGTCCTACATGGCAAACCGGAGGTCTACTTTAACCTTGAAGGCTTTCCTTTTAGTAGGCTTGTAAACATAATAGAATAGGCCTATACCTTATGCTCAATAGTTTTTGTCATTTAATTCACATTTAAAAAATCTATAAGTATGATTTAATAGAAACAAATTTGAAGAAGAAAACCTTTTATCCGGAATACATTAAAAAATTGACTCTGTGAAATAGCTCATTCTTCAGTTAGATAATATGGATAGCTATAATTACCTTTTTTTACCGTCTCGAGTGATGAGAGATTATTTTAAGATTCACATAACGTATGTTGTCATGTATCGTGTGTCTACAGAGGCAAGATCAGGTACTACACTGAGCCACCAGAGGACTCTGCCTGCCAGGTGAGCGCGGAGGTTGTACAACAGATGGCCAAGGAGTTTGACCTAGAGACATACTGTCAGATGGAGACTGATATGCTGCAGGAGCTGCCTGAGAGCTTCCCTCAGTGCAAGCCGATGCCCGTGGCGTCCGCAGGGCCGGTAGACGCTGCAGAGGTGGAGGAGATGGAACAGGACAAGGCTCCATCCTCCGACATGGTAAATCTACTACACTTGACATCCACCTGTATGAAATAAAATTGACATTAGTAATTTCATTATATATTAAGATAGGCCTACCTATTAAAAAAATGATAACATCAAAACTCCAATCTTGAATCGGAGCAAGATTATTTTAATTGTCAACTAGGAATGGACGAGACTGGATTTTAAGTTTGAGACGAGATCGAGAGGAGTTTCTTTTGTCTCATCATGATTTGAGACGAAATCAATACGAGACTATGAGATCTCATTACTATCAGGAATCACTCTTTTGCGCAGTTTCACAATGGGTAATAATTAATAAATAACAATAAAACACTATTGAAACAACAACTAAAATACAATAACAACTAATTATTTATTACAAAGGTCTATACAAAAAGAGTGTACAGAATTAGAAAAAACTTACAGGAATAAGAAAAATAAAATAAAATAAGACATCTTAAAATAATGAAAACTGTAACATGCACACCACACAACAAAAACTACTGTATCACAACAAAAAACAGTCTATAAGAGACAAAAGAACATTGTAGTAGCTTGTAATTATATCATAATACAGTAAAACCTATTATATCCGGTATAGACACACGGGGGGTATTAACGAATAAACAAATTACCAGATAAACTTATTTTACCAAATTTTTAGATGTAAACAGTTAAAAACACCTTCAGAAAGTCTCTGCAGTGCCCGCAATACAGGATTGCGTTAATGTTGCAAAGGCTAACATTGTTTGTTCTAATTTAAAACAAATTTTAAATGTATCACATTTTTGTGTTCTATAAAATTAAGGAAACATAATATTTATTTCAAATATGTTTTGTACAGTGTTTAAGTTTATGAATTTTGAACTTTTTTTCTAGTTAGCAGATAATGTTGTCGTGGATGAAGTAAAAGAGTATTCAAAGAAACAGAAAATCAAAGTTCAAAAAGCCAACAAAGCTGCTAAAAAACAGAAGACAGAAGAGGAATTGATTGACAAACAGTTACTTCTTCCAGGAAATGAGCGTAAAGCTAAAAAGTTTGTAAAATTGATAGCGAAGAAAAAAAGGAAAAATGCTAGTCGAACAGGTGAGACCTTTTTTTAAGATAACCCTTTTAAATTGAAAGTAAACAGTATATGATGATTACAAAGTAGTGTTTAGGGCTCCAAGTCTTTTTGAGAAGCAGGTACCTGTAGAGTATCCATTTCTTGTTTTTGTTTCTCTGTTGATAAACTGTCTTCCATAATACTTCTTGTCTCTTGTATGCATTGCCCAATTTATTTCTTTGACTCTAGATACGAGTGCAAATCTTTAAGTAAGGGCTTTTTTTGCATATTGCCCAAATGACACGATTTGCAGCTCTGTAGCTGATGTATATGTCTTCGCTATGCATTTAAAAATATTTTAAGTTATTGAATCTCCTGCTGCATGAGACATAAGATCAGTGATACATTTTTGACCACAAGAAACATATCCAATGCTGACATTCATCGCCGGATGACTTAAGTTTATGACCCTGATGCAATGATACAGGGAAAAGTGCAGAAATGGGCTAGGTAGCTCAAAAATGTCTATCAAAATGTTTATTTTGGAAGGAATTGTGTTTTGGTAGGTATTCAGACTTCTCACAGAAGACCACAAAGGAAAAAGGTTTCCACGGCCATTTTTACACTCTATAACTCCCGCGCTTTACCCTCACTCATTTTATTTGGGCCATAACCTTCAGCCATCTAGCAATGAATGTTGGCTCGGAATTGGATATGTTTCTGGTAGTCAAACAACGTAACTCTCACCTTATCTCACACGCGGCGAGAGTTTCTAACATTTAAAAATTTTAAAAATACTGCGAAGAGTAGGTACACATCAGTACAGAGCTGCAAATGGTGTCATTCTGTTCACAAATATGCCATTAACCGGCGAGGAGCCTCGTTTCGGCATACTACAGAGCAATATGTAAAAAAAATGACCCTTACTTAAAAAACTGCCCTTCTATTTTAAATTTAATGAAGATAGTATTGGGACCTAGGATCGTGATAAGTGTACCAAATGCTATTTTTATGCACCACATTTAATAAAATATAAAAAGTTTTATGAAATCAATATTTGGTAGTGTCATCAGGTAAATGAAAAGTCTTATAATTACAAAACGCAGCAATTAATTGAGGCGGTGTGATTTCTTATTTGTGGATAGAGGTAACTTAAAGACTAATGCTCAGTTTCAGCCTTTAGGACTTAATAATTGTTCAGAGAAGCCATTACTTTTTCTCATTTTTTCACTCAGTCTATAGTGAATAGTGAAGTTTTTAAAATCTGGGGATTGTAATAAAATTTATAATATAAAGCTTCTCAACTAATAACACAATTTTCTTACAATTAATATTTTTTTTGGTGCAAAAAAAGAAAGGTATGTCAATATAATTACTTACAAATTAATCATGAGTACCATTATCAGAGACTATCGATAATCAATTATCAATAATATTTTGGAGACAACGAGGTCCATATATTCAGCTTTAAGAATATGAATGCTAGATGAGTGTGTATTTTTGTGAGACAATCTGTGCGGCTTTTTACTGGCTAAGATCAGTTGTCTCATTAGTAAGGATAAATTCATTAAAAGCCCAATGATCAAGGACAGCTAGGTCAAGTTTTAAACCATTAAAAAGGACCTATTTTTATATAAGTCAGATAAATCTTTGCCAAGGAAAATCATCCATCACTTGACTCTATTATTTAAAATGTGTTGTATTAAGAAAATAAGTTTTCTCATACTGCAAGTTTGTAAGAAATAAATATTTTGTTACAGAAAAAGCTATGGTTGAAATGGCTGGGAATCTTGAGAATTTTACACTGTAAGATCTTGGAAGGATAGGAGTTATCCTAAAACTGTTTGTACATTAAAATATTTAAAATAAATATTTTACTTTTAATTGTTGGAATTGAATTATTGTTTGACCTGCAAAATATATTATCTTAAGTGTACTTGATTTGCAAGAATTAATGTGCAAGATTTGATTATGACATCACTGAAAATTGAATGGGATTTGTATTTGTATAACATGATATGATGAAGTTTAGACAACATTTTCACCTGAGTTAAATGCCCTTTCCATTTTCAAGATCACAAATTCACAAAGCTCAATCTAAATTTGTAATTATTGCAGAGTATTGCACGAATCGTTAATTAGTGCAATTAATTGTTGCATTATGTATTGTTATGTGAATTTAAAGTTTTGTTCCATATTTATATTGAAACTTTACTCATATAATACCTAATATTTAAAGGAAATTGCTCTTGAACTACAAAATACATTATGTTTATGCATACTTGTTAAAAAATTATTTAGAACCACACATAATCCACTATGACAAATACATATTTAAAAGATTTAAATGGTTATGTAATGTTGATTTACTTGGATTAACTCTTTCTAAAAACCAGTCTCCCTGTAAATTCAAGTTGGCTCTAGAGTTCTCTTATTGTTTTAGTTTTTCACTTAAACTTTATATCAAGATCTAGTAACTTTTAAGCCTTGGCATTTAGTTTAGACGGATCTTGTCAAGCAAATCCCTTAGCATTTAGTTTATTCCAACAGAGATTATTTTAGCTGTGGTTAGTGCTTTAACTTCACACTCATTAATCTTCATTAATCTTAATCTTGTCTACGTAATTTTTAAGATGCAGCCTGAGTACTAAAAATAACCAGCATTAAGACTTGACTACAGGCTGAACCCAATTTTGTCAACAGTGCTAGAAATAAATAGTTGAGTTGTTAAGACTCCTAAAACTGCTGTAAAATATACTTGGATACATGTTCAAAGAGGAAACATTGACAAATTCACTAAGCGAGCCAACAATAGAACATATTTGTATTGAGCATTTCAAACCCAGATATTTTGTAAACGTAATATTCTGAGAAGCTGGCCTCAAACTAAGAATAACTAGTTGCGTGGTAGAGATTATTATTGTCAAGTTTGTGTGTTTAAACCTAACACAGTTTTTTTTTTCAAAAGTTTTTGTAAAAAACCTAATTGATGTCGTAGAATCACTACGATTAATAACCAGGATGAGTTTAACAGCATAATACCCCCTAAGAATGTTTAAGGAAAGTTACACTAAATTCTTGTAGAATAACATAAATTATTTTTTTAAAGATTTGAGTATTAACAGTTTAGTTAATAATTTTAAATGTTACATTAGTTTTACAATTTTAGTTATCTGAGCTATCTAGCCAGTATAATGGACTTGCTAAGGTTATTCTTGAACATGACCATTCTAGTGGCTCAGTCCTGGCAGCAATTACGTGGTCCGCTGTAATCAGACTGCTGGGGCAGATGATTTGATTAGGTCTACGTCAGACTCCCCTGAAACATCTACCAAACTCGACTGACATTACTGTAGGTATAAACTGTAACCTTCGAATGTGTCAGAATTGCATATATTATGTGACCAAAGTTTCTAAACTGTTTTACATTTTGTTTATTTTTTCCAGTGACTTTTATCAGAGCCCTGAAGTAAAATTTGTTCAATGTTATGAACTATATTTTTTAACTGTCCTACTTTCACAAATTTTAGAATGTAGAAAATAAATTATACTCATTATGTATTGATTTTCATTTTATGGATAAGGATAATCAATTTTAGGGAAATATTCCAGTTTTCATTAATTTATTTGCCATAATCAACAATAAAATTGTGGTAGTGTTATGGGTTACATTTAATTTTTGAACATTTTGATTTAGCTATCTTGTTTTACAACTCGTGGCTTTTCATGAGAATCTATGTTGACAGAAATAATCTCACTGTTCATTGGGGTGAAACATTAAATAACACTCATGAAATTCATATTGCAGACCTCATATCAGATTCATAGAAATTTAATTTGACAGTAAAAAATGACAGTCTATTAGTTCATGGTTCATTCAATTAATCTTACTAATATTATAAATGTGAAAGTTTGTGTGTTTGTTTGTTTGTTTGTTTGAAGTTCAATCACGCACTAACGACTGGACGGATTGGGCTGAAATTTGGCATGATGATAGTCCACATTCCCGATTAACATATAGGCATATTCTTTTCTCAAAAATCCTTTCGGGCTCCGCCCCAGTGGCTCTGCAGTTTCCCATGTTAACCTTATGAGTATTCATATTTAAAAGGAATTAAATAATTTAGTCAGCTGATTCAACTAAAAATATTGGTTCTATGATATGGAAAAGCATTAAAAAGTTATAAGATTTACCAACAGGGTGCGGCACTATTATTTTTTTTGCATTTATGATAACAGCTAATTTGAACTATAAGCAGCAAAAAAACTGTGATACGCAATGAGAACTGTCAAAGTAGGATTGTTTACGGTTATGTTGATGTTTTTAATTTCATGAATAATTTGTGATATTTTGCAAACTTTAAGTAATTTATTTTTCCCTACTGTTTAGGTGAAGTGGTAGAATATTATGGCTACGGAAGATGTGTAAATACTATGGTATACCGTAAATTTAAAGAAGCAAATTTTATCAAACTGTGTCCTCCTCCATTGCAATAATGCAAAGCTCGAGTATAACTGCAATAAGCGTTTTATACTTATATGCCGACCCCGTACGAAGGACGGGTACTCTGCTAGTTCAATATAAAAGTAATATTGTCCAAAATTTGATTCTGTTGTTTGATTAAATAATTTGATCAATTTTGTTTTGTATAGAACTAATACAACTAAAATGATTATGGGGGTAACTGAGTCAGTTCAGGAGACAGTGTGAAATTTGCACTGAGCTATCATTCAATGAATATATCCAACAAAAGATGATTCCTTCACAAAAAAGGTCAAAAATGCCAATAGCCTGTTAAAACACAAAGTTACAAAACTAAATGTTCAAACCACAATTCAATCATGCAGAATACTGTACATTCTCATGTAGAATGTCTCTTGAGGTATGGTATCACCTAATGGGAAAATTAAACCAAAAATAAATACCCTCGCCACAGCAAACCTGCAGACTTAGCGAATTTCCATTTGTCTGATTTAATTTTCAATTCAATCTATTCAAATAACATTAGGTTTAACGAGTACTGTACCTAGGTTTGCTGCCTACAGGGATGGTAATAAAGTGTGTTTTTTGTAAAATATTATGAGCTTGGTATAAAATAAATAGATTTGCCAAGTTTGGTCCAAATATATCCATAAACAAACAAACTACAACTGTATACTTATCTATATACAGGGTGGCTGAAAAGTAACTTGCACCCCCCTTAACTTTTCAACCATTTAAGATATTTGAAACCAGTTTGCGGCAACCTTCTTAGATATGAGGGGCTACTATAATTATGGTCAATTTTGAAAATTTTGCCTTTAGGGGTAACGGGGGTAGGGGGTAGCTCAAAATGTTCAAATGACAAGTATAGTCGAGTTTGGTATCATTTTACAGGTATTGACGAAACATAAACATTCACATAAAGAAAACCAAAATCGGTTTACTAATAACAAAATGGCGCCCTAAAACGTTTCAAATCCAAATAACCATGAGGGTGGCAAAAAAATTAACTTGCACCCTCTTTAACTTTTTAACTATTTGAGATATTTGAATCGGTTTGCAGCAACTTGTTTGGATATAAAGGGCTACGATAATTATGGTCAGTTTTGAAAATTTTGCCCTTAGGGGTAGTGGGGGTAGGGGGTAGTTCAAAATTTTCAAATAGCAAGTATAGTCGAGTTTGGCATCATTTTACAGGTCTTGAAGAAACATAACAAATAACATAAAGAAAATAGAAATCGGACCATTAATAACAAAATGGCAGTTCAAAATTACTTTAAATAACCATTGTCTCAATCATTTTTAGCTGCAATTTTTTTATTAATGGTCCGATTTCTATTTTCTTTATGTTATTTGTTATGTACCTCTGGGCTTTTGAGCCATGCGAACGAGATCATCTTGAAAATTAAGAAGTTAAACGGGGCAAAGCCCGTGGGTTACAGCTAGTTCTCCTTAAGAATAACATGAGTTTTTTATTTACAATTTTCTTCGTAACCAATAACCATAAAAAAAACACTTCAATATACTAAATTATTGGTTTTTTAAGCTCTTCAAAATGGTTTAGAGAAAATTTGGGAAATATTATGTTTTGAGGGTCAAAAACGAGATAAACCTATTTTTACCCCATAAATCCCCCCATAAAACCTTGTTCCCGTGGTCCGATCATGCTGGTTCGCGAACTCGTCCTAAGTAACGTAGGTTTACACGTTTGTACCAAATTTCATCGAAATCGAATCATTTTTGCTCGAGTTATCGTGCTAACGGACACACACACACACACACACACACACATATATATATATATATATATATATATATATATATATATATATTACTAAGTAAATCAAAATACAACAGTATATATATAAATAGATAAATAAATATATATATATATATACATGAATTTGAATGGATAGTGTTTTTGGCTTCTATGGATATTAAAATGAAAAAGTAAATCGGTCCCGGGTCTAAGTCTTACCATGAGACCTACGGTAATAGCTTATTCCCTAATATGGGAAATTCGCTAAAAGATAACATCACTATAACAAAAGAATAACAAAGCCAAATAAAAAATACACTTTAATTACTCCAAATTATTAGACTAGCATGGTTATTTATAAAATTGAAAATTATGTCTAAGAAAATAAGATAACTTTTTATAAACATTAAAAAAGAATAAGTAGAAATAAAAGTTTAATAAAAAACCATATTCCTCCTATTTACAAAATAATTCAAATATAAGAAAACATCTTATAAATGCGTGTCTAAAACTGTGTAACTATTACCCAGATAAATAAAAAAAATAGGTAACACATTTGATCTTAGTAAAAAGGTGTTGGGGGACAAGAATGTTTATTCCATCCCAGAGACAAATGAGCAGACATCTTCAATTACTGATTAT